TGTGTAAGGAGAAAGCCATCCTGTTCCCTAGTGTGATTTGGTGGTCTGTAGCAGACACCAACCAATACCCCATCTTGTGTTTTGTCTGTTAGGACATTGATTTGTAAGCATTCAAGATACTTTTCTTCCAAGTTATCAGTGACTCAGAAAGAGGTAATGCCATTTCGGACATAGTGCCACTCCCGCTCTCCTTTTGCCTACTCAATCCTTCTTAAATAGGTTATAGCTATTAATTTTAACATTCCAGTTGTGCAAATCGTCCCATCAGGTTTCAGTAGGAGCAGCTAGACTGAATTTATGCTCATAAACGAGCAATTCCAGTTCCTATTTTTTGTTACCCAGGCTCTTAGCATCTGTGTAAACAAATTCAATAATTTCTTCTCTTCGTGTCTTTTGGATCCTTTATGAATATTGTTCTTAACATCTTGCTTTCGTGCTAAGTGAGTGCTCCTATCTTCCCTCTTTTTACCCTCCCCTTTTGCTATTAAACTAGTGCCAATATATTCCCTGCCATTTTCCTATACATGCACCAGAGGGGATAGACGGGGTGTAACACTAAATTTCATAGCAACATGCAACAGAACACCCCCTGCTCTGACTCCTCCATACTCACCGTGGTTTGAGATAGAGAATGGTGCTGTAGCGAGGCACTCCAGAGCCACAGTGCCAATAAAGCATTTCTTATTAAAAGTTTTTATGGGAATGACATAAGGCAGTTTTGAGACTTGACTTTTTTCTTTTCCATTGTGACTATAAATCTAATGGTGTATCTGTCTGGTTTTATCAGCAGCTTCTGGTGTGGTGGCCTTGAGGGGTCCCCCCCACTAGACATCTGACCCTGATCAGGAGGAGAAGGAAGAGGACTAAGGAGTATAGGTTATGGAAGATCCATCCTCCTGGCCACAGTTGCGTTGGACCATGATCAAAGGGGTTGGTAGTGCCCTTCAGAATGTGAACAAGGAGAAAGACAGACTGATAATGGAGAGAGTGGTTGCTGCAGAAGAAGCAAAAGAACCAAGAGGTGCATCAGGAAACATACCAGGACGTAATGGGGTTGCTCAGGCAACAAACATAAATGTTGCAGAGCATGGTTGACCTACAGGCCTAGAGATCCCAGACCCAGCCTTTGCAGTCTTTGGAGAACTGCATGGTCCCTGCCCCCTACAACTCCCAACATACCACATGGCACCATAGTGTACATCCTTACACCTACCACTCCAACCAGGGTACAACAAAGCTACACGTACACCGGCCTGAGAAAACTAGTAGTCACAACGGACTACATTGAACTACTGTTTACATACATGGACATAAATGCCTATTGTTTACTTCCATTTTCACTTGGGTTTGTAAACTGTGTTTCCCTCTCTTAACAGTGCTGGTTAAAAAAAAATAATTAGCCTTGAATGTCTTTGTTTTCACTTTAATTTGGTTAACTGCTATTTTCCACACAGTTTTTGGAAAGTCTCAGTATCTTTATTGATTCACACCGGGTGCTGCGGAACACATAAGGGGGGGCAAAGATGCAATGTACAGCAAGCATTCCAGAATTCATAGCGGCAGGCTTGGACCAAACCAATATATCACACGACAGACGCTATTGTATGAAAGCTGTGCTATGGCTGCCTCTTGACATGCTCTCTTAAAGCCTCCCTCAACTACACAGCACTGGTGGCAGCCTCTTTCCCTTCACCTCACCGATATTCCATAGGTCAGAACATGCAGCTATATCCATTGGGGTGTTTTTCTTGCTGAGATCCAATCTGCATCCCTTCCATCTACCAAAAGCACATTCAACAGTCACGTGGGCACCGGGTGAGCCAGTAGTTGAATCTTTCCTTGGTGCTGTCGAGGTCAGTGCACAGCTTCGTGAGCCGGGGAGTAAGTGGTAGGTGGGCTCACTCTTGGCATTTCAATATTGCCAATGGTTATCTGCCAGTCGGGGAAGAATGTCCCTGCTTGCAGCTCTCTGAATAGTTCTTAAAGTGCATGTCATGCACCTTCCCTGACCAGCCCACATTGTTATCTGTGAAATGTCCCTGATGATCATGAGCGCTTTTATGATGATGGAAAAGTAGCCTTTTCTGTAATAAGGTGGGCTGGTGCCGAAATAGTGATATGCCTGCTACTTATCGCCCTGTCGTAGTTTGGGATCCCCATTGCTGCAAATCCATCTGTGATGTCCTGCACATTGCCGAGGGTCACAGTCTGATATAGCAGGAGACGTTTAATGGCTCTACAAACTTTCATCACTATGGCCCAAACTCTGGGTTTTCCAGCTCCAAAATGATTTCCCACTGACCCATAGCAATTCAGTGTTGCAAACTTCCAGAGTGCAAGTGCCACACTCTTCTCCACTGTCAATGCAGCTCTCGTTCTGGCGTCCCTGTGCTGAAGGGCCAAGGTGAACTCGGCACACAGATCCAAGAATGTGGCCTTTCGCATCCAAAAGTTCTGCAGCCAGTTCTCATCATCCTAAATGTGCATTCCGACGATGCATTCCCAACAGTCGGGACTCGATCTCTACCGCGTGGAGCCGCTCCAAGAATGCCAGCAGCAACCTGGAATGTTTTTCCACTGTGCCCATTAGCTTCTAGTTATTGTGTTCGAACATCTCCACATTGTTCTCATCTCAGTCCTAATTGTAGCAGTACTTCCTCAAGCTCTGCACATACTGGACAGTGGTGCTTCCTAGATGTATTTGCAACACACATGAGAACTATGATGAGCTCTGCAGGCTCCATGCTTCTGTCCGTGATGGTGGAGACCAAAAAGTGCTGCATGGGACTGTGAGAGTTTTGAAAAATGGTGCTAAAATTATTGGATGTGGCAAGTAGTATGGGATATAGAAACCAGCATGTTAGGAGCTTGACCCGTAGCTCCTGGAAATCCTTGGGCACTTTGCTACTATCCCACAAAGCTCTGTGAAAAGGTCCCAAAAGGCACTGCGCCACACAGCAGCGTGGGGAACGCTGGGATATCTATCCAGTGCACCATACTTTGCATCGACACGAGCCTGCCTGATGAGTATGGGGAGCACTGACACAAGAAGCCAAGTATGCATACGCCTGAGCGACATACAGACTTCAGTGGCTGTATCCCAACATAACTTGCATTGACAGAACTTTGTAGTGTAGACATGGCCCAGCAATTGTGCTTACATACCGAGGTTCTGCCCCTTCTGTTCTGGCCACTTTGCACTAGTCAGGTGGTTTAAAGTAGTGGCTCTCAGTGACAAGCTGCTGATTTCCCTGGTGTAGGGAAGTTCTCAGGTGGTGTAAAGTGGTGTAGCTGGATCCTACATCATCTGCCCCTGTACATCCTGACACAGAGGCTGGGAGTGGGTGAGATGTAGTATCTGCTTAATTCACGACTAGGATATAGTGTCATAGCGACCATAACCAGTTGTCATAAGTTACAGCAGCCCCAAGCTGCTCCAACATATGCCAGTGGGCAGGGCAGGGACAATTACACCAGGAAAATCAGGGAGGCATAACTTGTTCCCGACAGCTGCTCCCATCCCCACATTTCTCTCACCAAGCCTATCCTGGAACAAGTGAAAATTTGGCCACAGCACTTCAACATTAGACCATTTTTTTTTTCCTTAACAAAAATTTCTCTTTCCACTTATCTGACTCTCCTGTTTTCCCTCCCCTGAAAAAACCTAATTTAAGGTCATATTCTAATACTCGACTCAAATATCTTTGGACAGTAATTCAAATAGATTATCTCCTACTTTGTGATGGACTGTTTTGCCCTCCCTCATGTACAACGTTGCACAATAATACAATGATGAGGAGTGTCCATTTTCCTCTGAAGCACTAAATATTGGACACTGCTGGAGTCCATTTGGCAAACCAGTAATCTGATCAAGAATGGCAAATTCTGTGTTCCCATGTAGAACATCTTTGATTTAAAGTACTGAAAAATTACTGTCAAATGGCACTGTGGAGTTCCAAGTTTGTATTTGTGACTTTAGAATCAGTTGTGCTCAACTTGCAGTAAATAGATTGATTGATTTTCTCTAGACTTTCAAACTCAACTTGGGCTCTGAAAGTCAAAGTAGATTCTCTCCATCACATACACCATCGCCAACAATAAAGAGCCTGCAGGCCAAATTAGCCCTTTAGGGTGAATGTCTTCACTGGAGTTGGAGGTGTGATTGCAGCATGTGTAGACATGCCTGAGCTAGCTTTGATTTAGCTAGCTCACGTGCTGACTGCAACATGAGCTAGCTGCCAGAGACCATACCCAGGCTCACTGGGGGGCTCGTACTTGGGCAGCTAGCCCATTTTGCCATGGCTTCACTGCAGTTGGTACCTGGACTAGCTACTAGCTATGTCTACACATGCTGCAGATAGACCTCTGACTGTGATGTAGACATACCCTTGGTTACACCTGTGCAACTACACTTCCGTTAGTGGGTTTGCACAGATGTAATTGTTCAGAACAAAGTACTTCGTAAATTATTGTGTTGAGAATGAACAAGAAGGAATAGAATCCACCTTGCTTTCTTATCAGTGTTGGCTCTACAGGGATAAGAAAAGCAGTACAACTTATTTTAGTCCCTTAAGTCAGTAGATGAAATTCTGCATATGCAAATGGAGCAGACCTCCTGAGTAAAAAGGTGACATTTTACATAGTTGCTTTTCTGAGCAGAACTGTGCTCATCAAACTTTTTTTTAAAACATCCCAATGTACCTGTCCCCAAATACTTATCAAGCTCCTGATCTGGCTAATCTGAATTCTGTTTATGCTGAGCCTTTTTACTGTCTTAATTTTAAAATCCACTACTTGCCTGTCTGGGGATAATTAAAAACAAAATGCCTCTATTTTACACCCGTGCAGAATACAGCCTGCTGTTAACTATTGAACCCACAGAGTCTTGTTGCAGAGTTTTATATGAGGATTACATTGGTCTATCAGTCGTTGGTGGGAAATCACCCAGCTTTTGACTTAAAAGCAACATTTTGACACATTATGTGTCTTTTTTTTAATAGAATATGCTTCTGTTGGCTCATTGTATGATTACATTAATAGCAACAGAAGTGAAGACATGGATATGGATCATATCATGACCTGGGCAACTGACATAGCTAAAGGTAAGAGGCTGATTTTTAACAATAACTCCCTCCCGTTGACCATTTCTTTTTATTTTTTGGCTCTAAATCCCAGCAGAATATTTTTCATAGGTGACTGTGTATAGACATATATTGCATAGATATGTCAATATCTAGGTTTAGGGCTTGTCTACATAGGGATAGTCAAGAAAGTTAAGATGAAATAAAGTGGCCGCAGTGCACTTTAGCTTAAGCAAAACTAAGATCTTCCCTACGCTGAGAAGTTAATTTTGTTTTAAGGTGGGTGGAGCGTGAATTTTAAGTGGAATAGCTATTCCTGATTAAATTCCTGTGTGGATGCTTTCCAATAAGAGTGCCTTATTCCAAATTTGCTTAATCCACTTCCAAAGGGAGTTGGTCAGGAATGGCTATTCCAGAATACCTTCCCATGTAGACAAGCCCTTAGTTAAAGCAAACTGAGACCACTTTACTTCTAAATGAGAGCATCTAACAGAGGTTTTATGCACTTTAAATAACGTGCTCTAACTTCGCACCTTCAGTTAATTTGTCTTAACTTGCTTTAGTGTCTAGACAAGCCCTTAGACTATTCAATGGAACAGTTTAATTAGAAACGATCCAAGTAATTTAAGACAGGTGGATGCTATTCTGTATGTATTGTACCACACATAAAAATTTTAAAACATACTTCAAAATTTCCCAAGCAATTTAAGTAATTTTTAAAAAAACAATCAAAGTGTTAGCAAACAGTTTTTAGTTCCTTTTTATTTTTAAATACACATTCAAAGACTAGCTAATGCTTTACAGCCCTGATCCTGTATTCAGATTGGTCAGCACTGATCCCTTTGCACATGTGGGGTCCCGTAGAAGTCATTGTGGTCTTCAGGAGTCCATGCTAGAAGATCTCAGTGCCCCAGAGCCTAAATGGCTAAACCACAGTTTATTTTTATCTATTTTTAAAAGGTTTATAAGTGCAAGCCTTTTTGGAGTTTTATCTCAACATACCCAAGTTACTCGCTAAATAATTTCATCTGAATAATGAAGGCTAGTGGTTACATTTTATATCCTCCAAGCACTAGAAGAAGGTACAGCAGATAAGGCACTGGGCTTGTCATTGTGATTAACTCTATGCAATTATAGTTTAAATCCCAACAATGAGTGTGATGCTTAGACACAAGAGCAAGTTGCAGAATACCTCCAACTGTTGGGACGCAGATCATATTTCTGGTTGATAAGACACTGTCTCTCTCTGAAATCTAAGCATCAGCGTACCTAAGACTCACCCAGCTCTGCCTGCATTAGATATATACAGATCTTTAAAATAGGAAATGAAAGAATAGAAATAAGAGCATAAAAATTATGCATTGGGTGGGTGATATCTCCATCCTTTTATGTTCATGTACATGGCACTGTATTACATGTATACTTTTTACATACTTAGGGCTCTCTACATGCAAATAATCACATAGGCAAGCAGCGTTCCTCTTCTAATGTACTATAGATCATCATTAACACAAGCATTGACAATCAGTGGCCTTGCTAAACCAGCATAATCTTAAAACTTTCCCTCATTTTTCTATAGGAATGCACTATTTGCATATGGAGGCTCCAGTGAAAGTAATTCACAGAGATCTAAAGTCTAGAAATGGTAAAGTAACCTTGCACTTAAGTTATTCTATATTTCTACTTTCAGTTAATGTGACAGTTTAACTTTAGCCTTCGAGAGATACAGGGCTAAATCTTCAGCTGTAGCTGAGATATGCAGCTGAGGCAGAGAAAAGGCAGTACTAAGCCATCTTTGTGTTCCCTGCCCTGAATCCTAGGGATATCTGGGCACCATTCCAGTCCCTGGCATAATTCAGAGCAGTCTGTAGTGCTGCTTTAAATTATGCCTTGCTTCTCATGGTCTGTTCCAGCAGCCAAGGTTTGACAAAGTACTTTCCCTTTTTCCTGGAAATGTCCTGTATGCTGAGGCCCAGGAAGAGATGGTGGAGAACTGCTATGAACAGTGCAAAACAGCCAAAAGGGACTTGAGAATCGGACCCAGTATCTTCTCTGAGAATGTTGTGGTTCTTTCAGCATTGATTGAACTTTTGCAGATGATAGTACTTCTGAAGAATGTAAACTGGCTGTGGGATTTGAATGAAACTGTTCTACTTGGTTAGTTCCAGGTCAGTTATGAAACATGCTGAAAAGTGACTTTAAGTGAAATATTTACTACTAGTAAGTGGCTTACAAATTATTCTGAGTCACCAAATGCTGTATAAGAATGTCATCCATGGAGAAATGGCTGGATGTAGTTTCATTCTTAAGTATCTTTTTAAGAAAATATTTATTTTCTTTTATAAACTTTGATTAATCATTGATGCTATTATTACTAACGTAAATCTCTGAGAGGGATCATTGTGAGCCTTCATTACTGTAATGGGAAATATTGGACAGTTCTTTCTGTATTTGTAGTTAGTTAGAAATCTCTATCTTTTGAATTGGAAAGATTGTTTAAGGGTGAGCAAGGCTCACATCAGTTTTTGAGGTAAGCTTATTTTTTTCTGCTGAATATCCCCACTAACTAGGGCTTAAAAGGCATTCAGAGCATATGTTTCAATTTACCCATCTGAAAATTTTATTTAGTTTCCATGAACATTTACTGGAGGTGTGCCAGAATGTACCATTTTAGGTACAAGTTTCCACGTTATGGCCAGTTTCCAGTTTCCACGGTATGCATCCAATGAAGTGAGCTGTAGCTCACGAAAGCTCATGCTCATATAAATTGGTTAGTCTCTAAGGGCCACAAGTACTCCTCACCTTTTAATAAATACCTTTTTAGTATCGGTATTCATTGGTTTATTACTACTGCCATGAGACTTAATCTTCATCAAGTCCTAATTTGGATGTAAGACCAAAATAAGCATAGAAAAATTCTGGATTTCAAAGATGTGGGCTCTTGCTTTGCCCCAGGGATTTATCTGTAATCCTCAAAATATCAAATTTTGTTTAAAATACAAAGTGGAGGGGCACTAGTGGCAGTGAAATAGTGGGGAATTCAAAGAAAAATGCTAGTGTAGACAATGTCATAATGCTGTTCTCTGACACAGTTATAGGGATTCTGTTTTCCTGTCCACATGAGCCAAAAATAATAAATAAAAATTAGAAGACAGATGCTCCAAGCTGTGACAGAAAATCATGCTAGTGGTGGATGGCTGCTCTTGTAGAGTGGACACACCCTTATTGGTTTGCAGCAAGGTCTTGTTTTATCTTTTGTTCCACATGGGAAGGAACTGCAACAAAACCTGGGACCTGGAATTCCTATTTTCCCCATCTCCCAAGAGGTACGGGTAATGACAACTTCTCTTTTCCTCCCTCGCCAGACAGAGGAGAAGAGGGAGGTGATAGAGTACTTAACATCCATCTTTTATGTGCATTCCAAGAGGGATTGATACAGCAGAACTCACGTAAAGGTGATAGACAACAGAAAAACCCTGAGATTGCACTGTTTTTTTCCGCTTCTTCATCATGATGAATCCCTGGAAACAAATTTAGTAAAAAATAAATCCCAAACTACCTTTTTTCTCCTGCTTATATTTTACATCAGATATTCAATTCACATCTTGTCTGCCCTGATTTTATCTCAGATGACTAGAGAACTAGTGAAATGTCATGGTAGGCAAGAGAGTGAAGGTTGAGATGTGAACTGAGAGAGAGTGGTTTTTTTTTTTTTGGTCAAACTCCTTGATTTTTCTGTTTTTGTTTTCAACTATTCAACTTTTCAATTGCTAATTAACTTAGGGGATACTGGACATCTTTGTTAAAGGTTAAATACCCCTGCCCCTTCAGTTAAGGTGTTAGAGCTTACACTGAACAGGAGATCTTTCCCAAGAGGTCTTTCAGCAAAACCAGTAAAGACTGGACTTAACATTCCTGATATTCTAAAGTAAATCAAACAGAACAATAATTTTGACTAGGTGTGTGAAGGAAACCTTTAGGTGGCAAGTTGTCTGGTGTTTTACATTATGCAGGAGGGTATGAGTCCAATTTTTTAAGCATCTTTATCAGCTTACTATTCGAGTGGAAAGAAACTTCACTCTAAGTAAAGTGACACTTCAGTGTAAGAGGATTGAAAGTCCATTAAAACAAATCTGGAATTTCACTCCACTTTCTCTGTAAGTGGAATTTGACTCTAACTGCATTGCCTACAAGCGGGTTCCACTGTGTTTGCTAATGCGCTGTAAAAGTTAGGGTAAAGGTGATTGTGGAAAGGGTATCTGCTGAAAAGTGTCACTGTGAAATTGAAAAATAATTCAAACATCACACTGAATTTTCTCTGACTTATTTGCAGCTAATGTCAATAAATGGATACATACAGTGGGTGAAATTGTACCCACAATTACAACTGTGCAAGGTGTTTGAGGAAATGTGTAAGGGAGGACTGAATTATAATTAAGGAGTTAATTGTAGCCTGTTTCTTAGCAAATTAAATTTTCATTTATTAGTAAACTATTAATAGACCTTTTTTGTAATTTTTTTTTCTAATGCAGTTTTAGAATTTATTCGTAGACTTTCAGGTATCTGACAAATGTTCTTCGAACACCTCCCAAGAAATCAAAAGAATTGTGTGTGCCAGTGTATTCAAGTCCTGGATCAATGTGGGATCATTTTTCTTTATGAAATGTCAACTGGGTTTTCCATTAAGATGTTAATAACAAGATACATTGTTCTTCTTTGAAACGTAATTCACTTACATTTTGTTTCTTGATTTTCCAGTTGTTATAGCTGCTGATGGAGTATTAAAGGTAGGAATATTTTAATTATTTGGAAGGTTTTGCAGCTGCTTTGCCTGATATCTTTGAAGTCAAATGAATGAGAAGTTGGCATTTATTGTTTGTTTGTTTTTGCCAGATCTGTGATTTTGGTGCCTCAAGGTTTCACCACCATACGACACACATGTCCTTGGTGGGTACCTTCCCTTGGATGGCTCCAGAAGTTATCCAGAGTCTCCCAGTGTCTGAAACATGTGACACATATTCATACGGTGTGGTGAGTTGCTTTCATTTCTTTCTCTGTATTAATGGGGCACTGGCATAACTGATTTAGTAGAATGTAAAATGTGAAAACAATGTTCCTAAATAAGGGCATTAGAGAAAGTTCACAAAATTTCATTTCAAAATAGATTCATGTATTTTATAATTACAAGCTGAAAACTGTTAGTATGAGCAATGTCTTGCATGCTTAGTAAGATAAGTATTTGATTAGATTGTGCTGCGTTGCTAATCTGTGAAATGCAAACTGTATTTAAAATACTTTACCTATGTCAGGAGGCAGGAAAGAGCTAGTTTACAGTTTGTAACTGTGTTGTGTTTGCAAAGGAATGGATATTAGTCTTTCGGGAGCAACAGGTTATATTTTAGTAAGTTTATTAGAGAGGGTTGCCTAGAGTATTTCCATACTTGTATGTCATGGAGTTGGTTTAAGAAAGGTGGTATTATGCCACTCTACCACTCAGATTGCTGTAATAGCCTGCTACAATCAGCTGATAACTGTTCTCAAAGGTAGAGAGGCACTGTATAGAAAGGTTGGTAAAAGTTTTGTGGGTTCTGCCACTTATTTAAAGGGGGGGAAATGAACCTGTTTGTAAGCAAATAAATGTTGTGAGTGAAGTTTGGGAATTTTGGAATTCTTTAACTCTGTTCCTACTCTGCATCCTTGCAATCAATCCTGTATTACTCCATAATTGAAGCTGACAGACACTACAGCAGAGAGTAGGGGTGTGTGTGTGTGTGTGTGTGTGTGTGCGTGCGTGTGTGTGTGTGTGTTAAAGGAGAGGAGATGGCAGGAATTAACAACTCCTCTAGCCATTCATCGTTTAAACTGATGACCCAATGTAAGAGAAACAAAAAAGCTATGCTGGCAGATCCAAAACTATAGTCTGACTTAATTGAGCTAAGACACCTACAATACTAGGATGTAAGCTAGCAAATGTAAATGTTATGTAAGCCGTTATTGAAAACGACAAAGTATTTCTTATTGAAGGGAAGCATTTCAGTTCCAAATAGGGGGAAAAAAAAGAAGAGAGAAATTCCAAGCTAGTTCTAGAATTGTCTAGTTCAAAAGTTGTTACAGCTTAGTCAGTGTGAATTAGCTGTAAATAAAATTCTAGTGAGAGAATTTAAGGAATTCATAGATTCATAGATATTAAGGTCAGAAGGGACCATTATGATCATCTAGTCTGACCTCCTGCACAACGCAGGCCACAGAATCTCATCCATCCACTCCTGCGAAAAACCTCTCACCTATGTCTGAGCTATTGAAGTCCTCAAATCATGGTTTAAAGACTTCAAGGAGAATCCTCCAGCAAGTGACCCGTGCCCCATGCTACAGAGGAAGGCGAAAAACCTCCAGGGCCTCTTCCAATCTGCCCTGGAGGAAAATTCCTTCCCGACCCCAAATATGGCGATTAGCTAAATCCTGAGCATATGGGCAAGATTCACCAGCCAGATACCCAGGAAAGAATTCTCTGTAGTAACTCAGATCCCACCCCATCTAACATCCCATCACAGGCCATTGGGCCTATTTACCATGAATATTTAAAGATCAATTAATTGCCAAAATCATGTTATCCCATCATACCATCTCCTCCATAAACTTATGGAGTTTAATCTTAAAGCCAGATAGGTCTTGGAAGGCTATTCCAAAACTTCACTCCTCTGATGGTTAGAAACCTTCGTCTAATTTCAAGTCTAAACTTCCCAATGACCAGATTATATCCATTTTTTCTTGTGTCCACATTGGTACTGAACTTAAATAATTCCTCTCCCTCTCTGGTATTTATCCTCTGATATATTTATAGAGAGCAATCATATGTCCCCTCAACCTTCTTTTAGTTAGACTAAACAAGCCAAGCTCCTTGAGTCTCCTTTCATAAAACAGGTTGTCCATTCCTCGGATCATCCTAGTAGCCCTTCTCTGTACCCGTTCCAGTTTGAATTCATCCTTCTTAAACATGGGAGACCAGAACTGCACACAGTATTCCAGGTAAGGTCTCAAAGTGCCTTGTATAACGGTACTAAAACCTCCTTATCTCTACTGGAATGCCTGATGCATCCCAAGACCGCATTAGCTTTTTTCATGGCCACATCACATTGGCGGGTCATAGTCATCCCATGATCAACCAATACTCCAAGGTCCTTCTCCTCCTCCGTTACTTCTAATTGATGCGTCCCCAGTATATAACTAAAATTCTTGTTATTAATCCCTAAATGCATAACCTTACACTTCTCACTATTAAATTTCATCCTATTACTATTACTCCAGTTTACAGAATTGTTTAATATATTATTATATTAGGTATAGCACAAACCGTAGGAGCATTTAGTTGGTAAAGTTAAAATTTATTTGTCCTGTGTATAAACAGTAAAGATAATTTGTTAATTCTGTGATTATAGGTAAAACTCAGAGAACTTACAGTATAGCCATATGCTAGCCAGTTCACTATTAGTGAAATATTTTAATACAATAACCTTCCCACAAAATGGTTTTGCATATATATACAGAGTTACATTGGCCTATGCCTTGTTGTCTTATAGTGATATTTCGGTGTGCATAATAATATGTGATCCATATGACTGTTTTATCATTCATATGTATTTTGGAGACATATGTTCTCCTATGGACACGTCCAATGTTTTAGAATTTTTAAATACTGTCATGGGGTGCACCACTCACTGCTTGTCTGGCACCACCTCCTGGTCTCTCAGGGGATTAGCTCTCAAGGTCGATGCCCCTTTCTGTGGTCGCATCCCGTCACATTGTCTCTGTCCCAGGAACTGCAGCATCCTCTTTGTGACTTAGTCCTCCAGCTAAGTCACTCAGCATTCCCCCTTTTGGGGTACAATCCTTCAATTCCCTGTCATTACCACAGTGACCCAGGCAGTCTTCCCATTCACTGCCCTACTGGTTTATACCATGCCCTCGGTGGCTGGTAGGGGAAGCCAGGTCCACCCTCTACTCCATGTTCCAGTCCAAGGACCCTCAACCCAGCAGTTCTGGGCTTTTCTCTCCCAGCTCTCGCTGCTCCTTCCCTGGACTGCTTCCTACAACTCCTTGTTCCCCTCCTTGTGCTGAGTGTACCAGGTCCAAACCCTCCACCCTCTTCTCAGGGAGTGACTGCCCTTTCCCTGCTCCATCTGTTGCCAGCTTTCTGGCTTTATAGGCCCCACCTGTTCCTGCACAGCTGAACCTAATTGCAATCGGCTCCCTAGCTCTTCCTCCAGGTGTGTGGAGTAAATAGGCCTATCTGGCCATCTTAACCCCTTCCAGTCCTGTGTGGGATGGATACCCCATCACAGACACCTATGACCTGATCCACCCTGATTATGTTCCAGTTTTCCACCCCTCTAGCACCATTGATTTCAATGTAGATATTCAGATGTAAAAGCAGAGTAATGCAGTGGTGAATCAGACTCTTGCAAAATGCAGTGATCCAGATTCTCTGCTGGGAATTACTGACTTAGTAAAGAATTTGTCCTAGTATATCTTTGAAAGTTGGAATTCTCCTCAACTAAACTTTTAGACTAGTTGTGAATCTGCTTAAAGGCTAAGAATTAACACCTTTGAAAAAGTAGATCTCTTGCTCTTACAATGATTTGATATATAAAAACAAATTTTGAACAGTTCACTTTCAAAGTGTAACACTTGCCAGTGGCCTTTGTGCTAGACAGACAAATCTGCTTTTCTTCAGCTGAAATGCTGATAACAAAGAGCAGGATCCTTTTCAAATGTAAACTAATGAGACGCTAGGAAAGGTCATTCTATTTGCAGAATCTGTAGTCTTCCCTACATTTTTTTTTTCCTGGAATGGGTTTACTTTCTATAAACTATTATGTGGCTGTGAATGTTGTTTGTTGTGTAAGAGAGCCTCTTCCCATCAAATGACCAGTAATTTCTGTCAGCACTTAGGCCTGAGTCTTTCCTCAGCTGAGGTGAACTTTCCTATTTGCAAATGGGTCGTGTTGCATTAGAAAGGATCTCTCAGATATTGCATTCCAGTGTTTAGAGTAATTTGTTCTGCTCTTCATGATTGGCTTAATGGCTTCCAAATTCTCCCTTTGAGATTTAGTAAATTATTTCATAAGGTTGACTAACAAATAAAACCAAATATTCCAGCTGATTTATCCAGACACAAACATAGGTCTTGGATTTTCTCTGAACCACCAAATCGATACTGCTCTAAACAACGGATGCTAAGTATCAGAATCTATCAACCTAGATTTTCAGTCGCATAGCTAAAGTTTCTTTCTAATGTCATTATGTGTTGTACAGACTATAATTCTTCACTTGTCTAGCTGCTTTGAAAATGCTTGTGGAATAATGATGTTCACTCTTTAAAACAGCCGTAGCTGTTTTGAAATTGTAAAGAAATACACTCAGAATATCAGTTATTTTATCCTAGCTCTGCAGAGTTCCATTTGGATATATTGTATATGTATTTAATTTTGGGGGGTTTATGCAGTGTCTTTCATAGCTGACATATTTTAGCACTTATTAAAGCAATTAATTAAATACTGGTTGTGTAGAGGCTGTGACGTTTAATGCAGCAGCTGTTGGCAATTGCTCACACTTTGACCTGGGTGTGAGAACTTATTTTATTTTACACTGGGGTTATCCCATACTCTTTTTGAAAAGAATTATGGGATCTTAACTTCTATTTGGATAGGTGCAGAGAGTTGCTGGACTAATCTCGTTGTCAGGTCTCATACAAAGACCATGACCTGGAGTAGCACAAGACCATCACCCCTCCTGCTGCACTTCTTCTAACCCTGGTTATGAGTCCAAGTCAATAAGAGAGCTGTGTAAAACTATCCGTGTTCTGTTTTCTACCTGTTGTTTTCACCAGAGAGTTGAATAAAGAATGAAAAATGGTGTGCTTAAATTACTAAATTGTGACTTCCCCTAGCCTGTTTTTCTGGCACTCGGAGTTTTTTACCAATTTCATTGTCATATGGGATTTATACTGATATCTTTCAGTCATACAGATGAAGTGGTAACAAGTGAATAACACAGACTCATTAACTAGTTGCAGTGCAGGTCTATTTACCTGGACTCTGCACGCAGAGGGCCGAGCCAGCAGTGTTGGCCAATGAGATCCGTAAGGCGCGGGCCACCCGGCCCGGCGGGGAAACCATCTTTGGGTAGATCATCCACAAGGAGATCCCGGCCAAAATCATCTTCGAGGATGAGGGAGTGCATTGCGTTCCATGAGATTTCACCTCAAGCTCCAACGCATTTCCTAGTGGTTCCTAAGAAGCCAATTGTCCAATTATCTGAAGCAGAAGATTCAGATGAATCTCTTCTTGGGCATTTAATGATTGTTGACAAGAAGTGTGCTGCTGAATTGGGCTTGACCAACGGATACCAAATGGTCATGAATGAAGGGCCAGATGGTGGGCAGTCTGTCTATCTTGTACATCTCCATGTTCTTGGTGGACGTCAGTTGGGCTGGCCTCCTGGCTAAGTTGTAGCAAGAATCACCATTCTGTGTGAAAATGATCCCTGCATAGATTTAATACATTGCCCAAGAATCCAACTACTGTTAACATGTTCAATTACCTTTTTCTGTAAAGGGCAGTAAAAGTTTTAGCATATTAAAAAGAAAAAACAAAAGAAAACCAGGAGATGTGTAGAACATGTAAGCATAGTCTCAGCCATAGAAGTTGTGAAACAGTTTGATCCTTACATATATTTTTTGTTATTTTTGTTAAACATCTTAAAATTATATATTTAATATGAAATAACGTTATAGTAACCACTTCAAAACCACCTTGAATCATTTTCATCTCATCCAGCTTAACTCAAGGCTAGTATTAAGTATCTTCGGACGGCAACATCTACAGCTCTCATCAGATGGAAGAACGGATCATTCGAAAATCTTCAGCAGATCTTAAAGAGGCTGAGGAAAAAGGATCTGAGAAGACCCCATTCTACCTTCAAAATCCCTTCTTTCGTTTCACCTTCTCTAAAAGCAGTATTCAAACAATTAAATTCAGGATTGATTGCTATGCTGAAACCCTCTACATGAACACAAACTTTTACAGGTAGTGTGGATTAAAAGGGATATCCTCATTTATTTGGTCTTCCATTATCCACATTCCAGACCTAGCCACTATTGACTAGTGTAGTGGTCTCTTCTAAGGATTGTCTGAATACAGTTATTCCTGATTAGCAATCACTGATAAACTCCTTGTGTGCACACCCTTATTCCAGAATAAGCTTAAAGGTAAACCAGAACAAGGCACTCTTATTCTGGAATAAGAGTGTCCATAAATGGAGTTAATCAAATATAGTTAATCGGAGATAACTCCATGTATAGAAAGCCCTTCACAAAAAGAAAAGAGGAGAAAGTACATGACAATTTTGAAGTTGACATGCTAGAGTCAACATGAAATTTGTTGTGGGTCTGGTCTTTATGAGGACTCTTTTACAAAAAATCCCCTGTTGTTGCTACTGCCATTTCAAAGCCAGAGTGGTAACAAGGGGAAGAGCTCTCGTGTAGACAAGACACCAGCGGCCATCAGTATTTTAATCATTGTTGTGTAGACCTGCTCTGAGCAAAGATAGACAATACGGTACTTAAACTGCTGGCAGCTCCCTGGAGCCCTGTCTGTAGTGTTCCCAGCGTAACTGCCCCCAGTGGAGCTGAACTTGAAGTAATCGTGGGAATTTTTAGGAACTAAGTAATGTTGGGAAAGTATTTGAAACTTTCTGAAAAAGACAATCACACTCTTGCTCTTCATTTCCTGTCCTCCTCCCCACATGTTCACTTTCTCTCTATCTGTTCACAAGAAGGAGACTGAGCTCTAGGGACCACAATTTGCAAACCTCTGCGGTAAATCCTTTTATGTATGGTTCTCTGAACTGTGTCTACAGTTAGACTGCTTCCCTCTGCAGTTTTGGTTCCACTTTGACTGACAGTCTAGTGTAGCCAATTCATAAGACTGTGTTGAAACTCTTACAAAAACAAGGCAATTAAAATGTTACCATGGAGCTCCAGTTTGGTGGGAAAATCTTTATTTAGATTGTTGATTTGAATATGAAATTGGCATCACTGACAAAGCTTGTTCTACGTAAATCTTTTGGAAATAACAGAGACTTTTGGGACTCAAGTTCCTCATCTTTTGGCTTTCTAATGCTACTAGTGAACAATAGGGATACTAAAAGGGAATTCTTCCTACTTTTCTCAGATTCCTTAATCTCTTCTGGGTTATGAAGTATAGTTTGGAGTATTTGGAGCTAATACAGTTAGGTTAGGAAACCAGTGAGCTGTATAAGACAATGGAAATAAAAGTAAAAATGGCATCAAAAACGAAATGCAAAATGTTCTGTGGAAATTTATGTGCATGAATGGAAACATACAACCACTACCTGTTGTGTGAGAAAAGCAAAATTGTTGTCTTTTACAGCTACAGGCTTTTGGTGGTATATGAAACCTACATATTTCAATATGTACTATTGTTCATTTGAAGAATTTTAAATAATATTTTACAATTCTAACCATTATTCTACATTTGATGTGTGATCTTTCGTGAGAATTCCTGTGGCGTTTTGTAGTACATAGGGCACAATAGCCCCACAGTTATACAGATGAGGTAATTCTGCGAGTCTGCTCACCTGCACAGTTTGGTGGCTTTTGTTTTATGCTGACTGCTTATTGGGGTGTCTGAGCTTCATGGGAATACCAAATTAGTGAATTTTTTTTTGCAGTTAAATTCCCTTCTTTTCCTCAGCCTTACCAGCAGATGTGTGGTAACTGGAATAACAAATTGAGTTGTATTTTCCTTCTTCTAAAGGGAATGAACTAAACCATACAGGGGATTGGGTAACTGTATGAATACTTTCCCTTGAAAATTTTTAGTACAATGACTTCTTCTAAGATACTTTTACCTTTACTAATCAGGTTCTGGCTCAAACAGAATTATTAGCAGCTCTTTTGATAGAACACCCTGTTCATTTGATTTTTCTGCCAATATTGTGTCCGCCAATATTCTTGCATGTTCCTACTAATTACCTTCAAAGTTGGCCATAATTCATTGAAAATGATGTGGCTTGAATAAGCCTGAGTACTAGCCCAAATAGCATAGGATATCAAGACTTATACAAGGTGCTTGGAACTTTTGGCTAAGTGGTCAATAAATGTTGGCCCCTTTTTGGTGTGTTTTGAGCTGAAGAAGTTTTTATATAGTTATTTATATCTGTATCAAGAAATACATATATGGAGATCTAGTGTAGTAGATACATGTATGAATGGAGACGAGTGACTTTTAACTTGTTAAACTCCAATATTATGTCTCTATAGTAGAAAAAGAAGTTGGGCTTATTGATTCTTAGCTCTTTTGGTGATGTTGCTCTCATTTTTACAAAGTATTTGAGATTCTCAGTTACCATTTGATTTAATGAGTTGGTGCAATATGTGCAAAAATGTTACATGTATACACAGATGGAGGAGATCCTCCCATGTCTGAAAATAAAGTATTGTAGGGAGATTAAAGATAAAATATTAATGTCCGATATCTGCTATACCACTTAGTTTAATATAATCACAAACTTGTTGGCAGCAACAATTATTATATTACTTACAAAGTATATTTTGGGTTGGGTGTTTTGTTATAGGCATATCTCAGAAGCTAAAAACGTATAGGCTCAGATACTGTTTACTAAGAAGTTGTTGTTACTGTTGTTGTTGTTACTGTTACTAAGAAGCCATCTGTAGTTGTATAGAAATATTTTAAAATGTAGGATTATTGTAACGAAAAGGTTTGTCTAGTTGGGGTTGGGGAGAGGGAGTTCACTATCTTGCAAGGATGAACCACCACTTTATGGTTTAAAGGAAAGAGAATATTTCCTATGGGTTTCACAAAATTGCAGACCTTGGGCCCCGCGCAACACAGTTTTTTATTTGGTTTTGCTTTAGAGAGAAAAACAGAAATAATAAAATTAATTTAGAGAGAGGATCTTGCACACAAACATTTGTCCAAGTTACTGCAAATGGGATCTGGTTGCCGATTAATTGGATACAGATAGTGCTGTATCAGGGTTTAATGATGTATTTAAAATACAAAGTACAGAAATAAAAATTCTTTTCTTTTTTTTCTGCTCCAGGTTCTCTGGGAGATGCTAACAAGGGAGGTCCCCTTTAAAGGCTTGGAAGGATTACAAGTAGCTTGGCTTGTAGTGGAAAAAAACGAGGTAAGACTACATTTCTACATTCAGGTACATAGATCAGAAAACAGTATTGGGGTTTTGCAAAAGACTTTTTCATCTTCTTCAAATTGAAAGTAAGTTCACGCGTATGGAAAGATTAGCAGTAGGAGCTAACACAAAGGGTCAAAGTGATGTTATTCCTCATGAATGGACCCTTTACATCTAATTGTTGCAGCTTCACGTCGTGATGCTGTAGATCAAAAATTGTACAAGTACTGTACTAGTTTCTCAGTCTCAATTGTAAAACCTAGGGGTTTGTTCTTAGTGATGAAAGAAGCCATTGCGTCCAAGGTAGGGGAACAGTTTAACTCCATCTCCTGCGTTTAGGACATCTTTTTACTGGCCGGGAGTTGATATATCTGTAAGAGACCTTCAGCTACTTCAACTTAACTCTCCCAGCAGGAGTCACTATAGTACAAGAAACTGCCGCTTAGATGAGAATTTCAAAAATAAAAGAAGAAAAAATAGTTTAAAAAAAAAGAGAGAAATTACAGTTTTGCCACCTACGTTCAACACTACATTGAAGATGAGCTCCTCACTGGTATTGGCAAGGCTGTGGCATAGCTGCAAGCTTCCTCATGCAGAGTCTTTCCATTTCAAAAGAACTTCAGTGGTGTAAACACCGTTTGTACAGCGTCCCCAGCCTCGCTTTTCTTCTTCGCACAAATTGAGGCTTTCAGTTAGTTGGGCATGTGAGCTATATGTCTGAACACATGGTTCTTTGATATCAAAGACAGTAACTACATTTAAAAAACATTTAAAGTTGGGACTGTACCACACACAGACAAGCATGGAAATCTCAGTTAAGAGGAAACCTCTACTATCTAGACATAGTGGAAGCTTGGGTAACATTATAATACAACCCAGTATCTCTACAATAAAATTTTATATTCTTCTATACAAACTGTTTCCCAAAATACTTAAATAAAATAGAGTTAAATATTAAATAGCAGAGGGAGAGACAAATGAAGAGGGAAACACCTTTGTATTTTTTCTTTTTTAGTTCTGTTTGGGGACTGGATTGGTTCCACTCCCTGTCCAAGTATATGAGATGTCCAGATTAGTTGGAAATGCTACATTAATAGAGAGAAGCCTTATGAACTCAGCCTTCTACAGAATAATATTTCCAGAACAGGAAACATAACGGGATTCCTTCTCCCATTATGGAAAAAGCCTCATACAGCTAATGCCAAGTTATTTTGGAGAGAGAGACCAGAAACTTTTCCATATACTGTATATGGCATTCCTGTGCATATCAAGTACACAGGTTTATGCAGGATCTGCCATACAATACCAGACCATTTAAAATGATTTGAAGAGAACTGATTTTCGGCTGAAAGATGTTAAAGGGTACAGATATATTTCCTCATGGTTTTCCAAAGCAAGGAACTATTAAAATATATTATAAGCAAAATATGGGCATGCCATGCTGCCTTACATGCCGCCAGAAGAAGCTTAAGAAAAAACAAGTGTCCTTCATGAACCTCTCAATACTAGATGTTAGTTGCAACAGCATGGTGGTGCCTATTACACAGTCTTCCTTCCTAAGTGGTGCAGTGAATGAATTGACACTGATAGTTTAACTCTCACAGATTATTTTTTTAATCTGATCACAATCTATTGAATATGCCCAACACAGTCCTGCAAAATAACAGTCCTGCAATAACTTGCTCTCCTATTCCTCACTTCTCCAACAGAAGAAAAATGGAATGTTTGTGTGTCTCACAGCAAGTAAATAAATATAAAGGGGCAGGTTCTTCTCTCAAATAAACCAGTGCAAACCCTACTGATGTCAATGAGGTTGCATAGGTGCGATTCAGAGCAGAATTAAACACACTGTTGATCCAATCTTGCGTTCTTCTCCCTCTAAAAGTCAGTGCAGAACTCCCCATAAAAGTCAGTGCAGAACTGGTTCTAAAGCATACTCACTGAGGGCAAAGATCAACCTGGTGCAAAGGGAGTTCCTAAGAGGTTAAGTAGGACTTCAGTGGTGCCTGGGTCTTGTTTTAGTCTTCTGCACACAGGTGAATTTCATCCTTCGTGAATATTTTCCATTTTAATCCAGACCTGCTCCACCCCCAATATGAATGCTCAGATTATGGTTGGCATTAGCTAATGACAAATTAGTACTGAGAATATCTTCTTTATTATGGTATGATAGCCTTGGAATATGCTACCTATATATTTCCTGACAAATTACATTCTGCACACATAAAACAGACGTAATTGATGATTACGTGTCTCCTGTTAATTTATTTTCCATCTACTGGAACAGTGAGGGTTACACACAAATGCCATAGCAAGACTAGCAGACATATTTTTAGGCAAATGACTTGACCGAGTATCAAATAGCAGTGCAATTTGTTCATGCACTGTAGGAATTTCAGTGTATTTTTTGTGCAGAAAGCCTTTTCACCAGCAATGCATTATTTTAATAATTACACTTACACAATAAAGGCATTACTGATCTCATGTTTCCAGTTTTTGTCTTGTTTAAATGCTAATGCAGACAAATTTGTTGTACTCCTATTTTGGCATGCTGTGGCTCATATGGCTTTGCAGGTCACGTTGTAGTAATATAATGGTATAATTTGATACAACTTGCTCTGCTTTACTTGTGCAGTGCCAGAATTAGTGCAGCAAAGTGCCTGGGGTAGCAAGTTGGTTTGAATGGAACTATAATATCTTGGTTAGATCATCTTTATATGCCTCTGTCCTGTTTATAGGACTAGAGAATCATTTTTCCATCTTGGCCTCTCAGATTTCTAGGTCCTTCCAGATCCTCCAATGAAGAACCATTCTGTTGTGTATTTACATATCTATTTTAGTTGGTATCAAACATCTGAAGTCCGTTAACTGAGAGCCCAGCGGTATCTCCTTGTAATGTAATGTGGTAAAGATACTCATTTCATCAAATGTAGAGATTGGGTTTGGATCTTTCCAGACTGAAAAAGTGTTCGCAAATTAAAAGTTGCCTCTAAGAGAGCCTGTTTTAGGTATCTTTCTAATTCCCTACAAAGGAAACCAAATTGGGTTAGAGCTCGTTCTTTGTTGCAGCAGTCCTGGTTGTAATTGTTTTGTAATTGTACAGCTAATGGTTTTAGTACTGGCCTTGAGTTCTTTTTTTGAGCAACTGATATCACAATTAATCAGTCTGACCACAGCTTCATGAAACTTACCTTGTGGAGTAAGGTTCTCATAGAAATCTTTTATATTTTTTTTAACTTCATCACCTCCTCAGACAATGCAATGTGTATTTCAGCCATTTCTCTGTGATATCAACAGTGATTTTACTAAAATATTGCTGGATTACTTTATGTGGGAGAAAGGGGTTAAGTTTTCTCCCACATCACATTTATATTTATTTACATCTGTGGACACCCAGTAATGCAGTTAATTGGATCCAAACATTTAATATTCATTTGCGAGACTTTCCATGGGCTTGCCTCATTTGATCTATTGGGCACATGTTAATTTTTTAACCTACTATGTTTGAATATTTGCTCCACCCATCCCTTATGGGTCTAACTATACCTGTCCATGGTGTCTTCTTTTGGATTTTGAACATTGATCCTCAATTTTGGACTTTTGTCATACTGGCCTTTATTCTGTTAATGATTATTTTGAACAATTGCCTCATCTTTTTGCTTGAAACATCAAATGACCGGTCTTATGGAAAGTATTATGACTAAACCATTAAAAAAAATAAAATGCTCTTTGCTGTCATTTAACTGGTGAATCCTCTCTCCATTGCAGAGATTAACCATTCCAAGCAGTTGTCCCAGAAGTTTTGCAGAACTGATGCATCAGTGTTGGGAAGCTGATTCAAAGGTAATTTCATTTATTGTGTTCACGTTAAATGTATCTATTTCTTTTTCGTCTTCATCAATTTAGTGTGTAAGTCTTATTTTGTAGGGCACAGCTGGCCTGTTACTGCTGCTGCAAACCAATTCAAAACTGTTAGCTAGGGCTTTTCATTATGATCATCTAGAACATATGGCTGGATGCCTCTCTTGCCTTCTAAAGCCAGACCTGTTTAAGGAAGTCAGCATTGGGATACTGACTGGAACAGCTGTGCATAAGGTAGGATGGGAAGAACTAATACATTTTTTCTGTAACTTAATGAAAAACTAGTTTAGTTCTTACCTATAAAAACAAATTTTCTTCATAAAATTATTTCTTCACGGAAGTCCCAAAGCAGTTGCACATATAATGTAATGATTAAAGGCCTGATTCTGACACCCTAAGCACATTGGGAGCATTTGCAATATACATTCCTGCACAGTGTGAATAAGGATGGCAGAACAAGCCCTAAATTAACATGAAAACAGAATAAAAAGCAACTTCAAGAAGAGTTGTTATATCAAGCTTGTAAACCTTTGCACCTGTTTAACTGCCCTTGTGGGGATAACTAAAAGAGTAATTTAAAGGAATATTTACTTAGTAAAGACTCATATAGATGATGGGAAAAGTCCATTTTAGTTCAGTCCACTGCCCTATTCTGCTGTGCAGAAAATTAGTTGGAAAGATACCTGTGGAGGTAGCTGGAAAACAGTTCATAATGGCATCAGCTTTGTTATCAAATGTGAGCAGGCATTTCCTTCTCTTGTGAAGATAGGTAACGAAGGAAAATGATATTGCTTTACTCAGTTTGGTGGAGTCAGAATTCTGGTCCCGTTGAAGTCAATAGGAGTTTTGCCACTGCTTCAGTGGAACCAGGATTTGTTCCTGGATGAATTGGCTACTTTAAAGCTAGATCGTCTTGTTGCTTGGAAAGAACCTGAGAGGGAGATAGGAAGAAGAAAACCTTCCTTGTAGAGTTTTTTCCCAGATTTTTATGTGGGGGACAAGGCATGTTCTCTCATTGAATGAGTGGAGGGTTCTGTCCCTCAAGACCCTTGAGATCCACCAACAACATGGTGCCTCCCAAATGAAGACTCTGTGCCTCTTCATTGCAGACTCCTTAGCCCCCTCCAGTTTCCTATGAAGGGAGTCCCTTCGTTCCTAGACAGCTATGATGAAAAGTTAATGCAGCATCGTGCTGCTTTTCTGCAAATTGCTGGAGCATAACAACCATTTCCTTAGGCCACTTCCTCGTGAGACACAGATCTCCAGAGATGGTGATGAGAAGATGGCCCTTCTTCTGTAAAAGAGGAGAGAGCTGCACGTGGAGGGACTTTCTGCATAGGAATCTAAGGTGACAGACTAGCACCTAGTGATAAAGGGTTCTTCTGAAATATTGGTGGCCAACTTGCTTGTTGTTAAAGTCATCGCTTCAGAGGGAGTATATAGTGCAATCCTTGTTATAGACTCCTGTGACCTTATTGTAATACCACAATATGCAACTCCCCTGTGATTTGCCTGTGATTAGTCTGTCAGTTTTTAGGCTTTGCTTTCAATTTTATAGAATTTCTCACTATTTGAAGAAAATTATCTATCCCATTGAATTGAAATCGCTATGAATAAAGCATGCATAGAGGAATTGTATTTATATAGTAAAACCTATAAGTTAAAGTAACTTTAGTAAAGTGCTTTTTACATGGAAAAAGACAATTATGTGCCAAGTATTAATAATGATTATTAAAGAGCACCTCCAATAGGCAATTACTTGTCTTAGACAACCACTTTCAAGACAACCTATTTTTCTAAGATATTAGATAGTTGCTTTTACAAGATTTCTCCCTATTGATCTCTTTATTTAGTAGAGAAGTTTACCTTAAAACAGGGTCTTGAATTTCTTACAGTTTCATATGTTTCTACAGCTTATCCTCCACCTGATCTGGGACATCATAAATTATTAGAAATACCATTACCATCTGAGGCTTGGGAACTGGGAGAGGTAGTTGGAACAGATAAAGTAATAGAATCAAAGGACCTGTTTTTATACAAACATGCCAAGTAATAAATATTGAGTTAAGGAAAACACTGAAAATATTCGTCACAATTCATTGGAATTGGAATTTCTTTTATAAAGTTTTTCTATGAGGCATTGAGATGTAAGTGCCAAGATTTTTAAAAAGTGACTAGTGATTTTGGGTATCCAACTTGAAACCTCTTTCAGGAGTCTTGTTTTCAGAAAGTGCTGAGCACCCACTGACCAAAAAGAAGGTATCTCAAGCTGGGCACCCCAAATCACGCGTCACTTTTCCACATCTTAGCCAAAGTCCTCAATCTGTGCTTACAGTGTTTTTATTAAATTAAAAGGTACCTTCCTTTAAAAAAAAAAAAAAAATCAGTGTAGACCTGTTGCCTCATTCCAGCTCCAGACAAAATCCCATCTACCTTTGAGAGAAAAGCTGTTGCCAAGGCTGATTCAGGTTCCTACCAGGCCTGTAAAACAGTTGGTGTCCACATGCACAGATGCACAAGCATTCCCAGTACTGTTGTGAATGTCCACTTGGAACAAAGTTTTGACAACTCCTGTGGCTGTCCTGGTTCACTGCTTGCCAATTTGGTAGTAGTGTGTGCAGGAACCTCAGGTATCGTATTGACCATTGTATTGCTTCATACAACTAACTCAATGCTTTGAACTGCCCTTCAGAGACAGCTCTGTTCTCTGTCAACCATTATATTCCCTCCCTCTGTTTAGGCAGGTCTGAGAGCAGCATAAGAAGTAGTTGGCTGGTCTCAGCCCTGCACAGTACTTCCCAAAGACCCCCAGAAAGACATACCAAGCAGAATGCGCACAAACATTCTGGAAACGAAACTTGTATTAATTTCAATATTTTATTGCTTATGTAACAGGGGCTTGTGACGCCTCTTTTGCAGACCATGGCATTGTCAAAGAGGGCTTCCCCAGGAACCCTGGGTAACAGGGCTGCTCTCTCTTCATCTGCTCCTGAAAATCAGATAATGCAACTAGTTTAGTAAGGACACACTACACACCTATTAAGTGATTGTATAGTGTTTAATAGCACTACACAAATACATTAATGGTGTCTGGGGTTTCCAACATGTTCTGGAAGCTGTCCCATTGCATATCCCACGCTCCAGGCAAACAGAGGTGGAACATCAATGAAAAGCTATTGGAATTACAGGAATGCATTTAGCATACATTGCTACTCACAAACCCAAAACAGGGCAAGTGACTGCAGCCCTGACCTTGTGCATTTCACTGGATTTGGGTCAGCAACAGCTAAATATATGAAAAGAATAAAACAAGTTGAAAAATCAGCTCCTGGCCTCCTGGAGCAGCACCACCCAAAACTAGCAATGATTGTATTCTGGGACTCTAAGCACAGAGTAAAATGGGTACAAGGGAGCCTCCTGCTAAGCTTTACCTATAACATCATCCATGTGGAATTGTGTGATGGTGTAGTCCCCATCCGCTGTAATGCATGTGGAGATTCACTAACGGGAGAGAATCATTGTAACAAACTACTGGGATTCTTTACTAGAAACAATTTATAGAATTATAGCAACAGGTACAAATAAAGTACTGCCAAGTTTGCACTTGCTACGGTGTTATGTTCCAGGTTACAGTACAGGGAACTCTATGGGATAGGAGCCAAAATGCACAGATACAGCAATGGCTGGGCAAACGCTGAGAAAATCTGCTTGCTGCACCATTTGCCTGAAAATTGTGTAGATGGACCAAAAAATGACAGACAAAAAAAGCCTCCAGTTAGCATTGAATAGTGCAGCACTACTGTATAAGAGAGGTTGTCTCTTTTTTTGTTATACATTTGACACTTTTTTATGCTGTTTGACATTTGAAATAAAGAAATTGTCTCTCTTTTATAATGTAGAAATCACTTAGATCTTCCTGGGAGAGACACCTCAGCATTGTTCCTAATTGTTTTTGTGCACCCAAATTAAAACGCACGTTTTAATTGCTGCATCTGTAATTTTAGCAGAAATGGTGTAATTACCGATGAGATGCAGAGAGAATGTGCATCATCCCTTTATTATGTATCTACATTTTGTCTCAACCTTTTGTCTCAACCTTGCCTGGGGTCTGTCAAACAGACTAATGGAGTCACTGCTCTTTCAAGAAATATATTTAACTGTGGCTTTTTCAGTTTTCAACAATTATCTTACTCTATAGCTTCCTTTGTGACTGCAGAAAGTAGAAAATGCAGAGAAGTTATGACTGCTCTGAATGATGAGTGAATTTAGTTTTCATAAAGGGGTTTAAGAATGACCGCCTTTAGTTTTGCACAGGACATGAATAGCACATGCATGGGTACTGTGAACTTCCCCCCTGACTGCTTTGGCAACATGCCCAGCTTTGTCATGGAGGAGTCACCACAATTGTCCTGATGTCTGTTCAGTCCCTGACTTCTGCTGAGACTACCAACAAGGGTGCCCGTTATGGAGGGGCAATTTTTGTGATGTGGACCTTTGTCTAGTAGGAATTGAACTGAGATCTCACACTCGGGCTACCAAATGGCTTGTAGCTATTCAGTACAAGCTATTTGGTACAAGCTATCAATAGTGTTGGGTTCCTACCTGTGACCTACAGTTGCAAAGCTGTGTTATGAAAGGCATTGCCAATCCCTGGGAGGCGTGCTTCTCCCAGATTAGGACTGTTAGGTAGAATTTTCCTTCTTTGCACGAGAAACCCTTCTTTCTAATCATTATAAATCCCTTATTATATTGTTGTTGTTGTTGTTAATTATTTTACATTGTGGTAGTAGCAGGTTGGGGCCCCACAGAATCATAGAATATCCGGGTTGTAAGGGACCTCAGGAGGTCATCTAGTCCAACCCCCTGCTCAAAGCAGGACCAATCCCTAATTTTTTCCCCAGATCGCTAAATGGCCCCCTCAAGGATTGAACTCACAACCTGGGCTTAGCAGGTCAGTGCTCAAACCACTGAGCTATCCCTCCCCTGCCATAATTGTAGATTGTACCAGTTTTTGTGCTGACTTTTCCAGTGGAAAGTATACAGTTTAAATATATGGGTTTTGAATAATTTTTCCATGAGCTGAACACCTGATAATTATGTAGGCAGCATCCCAGTCTGTGTGCTGTTTGCAGGCTTGTGCTTGCAGTTGCAGTAGGAGAAATCCCATTAATGTTTTAACATTGTCCGATATTAAAACAAAACCCTGATTATTGTTATCATTTTGTCTTCAGAAAAGACCATCTTTCAAGCAGATCATTTCAATTCTGGAATCCATGTCCAATGACAGCAACCTTCCAGACCAGTGTAACTCATTCCTGCATAACAAGGCAGAGTGGAGGTATGTTTCTTTGCTTCCATAATAAGATGGTATGGTGTTCAGGTGAAATGATGTGGGCAAATTAAGACTCTTTCCAGAGGGTTAAGTGCCAAATTGTGTGGCTGGCATTAGAGTTACTAAAAGGAGAAGAAATCAGACTCAGGTGGCAAGATGGCAACCACTTTCTTAATACAAAATACTTGTTCTGTAGATATTTTTGGAACATATTTGATCTTGGTTTTTTTCAAGACTACCCAGAATGTTGTGGAACGTGAGTTATGAGTCAATACGCTTAAGCTGTGCATTTTATTAATATTACACTTTTTAAGTATCACAAATGTATATGGGTTTTGCCATCCAAATCTTAAAACCAGGGGTGTGAATTCAGTCTCTAACGTGAAGATATTTGTGATTCAAGCTACATATTACTACATTTGTACATATCTGTGTGTATAAGTGTGCAAATTACATGTTACACAGGGAAGGGACATAAAAGGCCAAATTTTCAAAACAAGCCTACATTTATGAGTCTGAATCTTTGCATGTGCAGCCACTTGGTGTTATCAGTTGTGCATCCACATGATAGGACTTACTTCTGCCAACCCGTTATTTGTGATAATGCACAAAAATTGTTTGAACAAATGATACAACCTGTTTCCAGTGGTATGCTTACAAATGGAGGCCCAGGTAAAGGGCCCTTTCCATTATTTGAAACAGTTTTTGATCCAATTTTCAATCTATTTTATATGTGTGCAAAGAATAACATAAGAGAAATGTTCCAAAAGCTTCTTTCTCAGTATGTAAGCTTAGCGCGTCACAATATTTCTTAGTGTTTGGACAAGAATTTTGAAAGCAGATCTGCACAGGCAGAGGATTGTTACCAGATGATCTTATTGCAGTCTATATTAAGAAGCTTTGGCCACTGTCCAGGTAAACTGGGAGCACAAATACTCAAATATTCTGTGCCTGCAGCTCTGAAAACAAGCAAAGAAAAACATTCAAGAAAACTGGAGCTGGGAAGTAAAGAATAAGGAAGAGATTATAGACATGGGGTTTAAACAAAACAATCCCAAACTTTGTTGGTAAACTTCAAAGGGGAATTGATAACTAGGGAATTTTATTGTGTGTGTGGAAAAAGTGAGCACAAGATGGGATGTGTGAGCCAGGTCACATGATGAGAGTATAAATAGCATGTTTTAGAGCTGACATTATTCCTGCACTGACTCAGCAGAGAATCTCCTAACTGCATCTCAGCTCTCAGTACAGTATACTAACATTTTGCGCCATCTGCTGATATAAAATGTAAACTGCATGTATACTAGAAAATCTGCAATTTGATCTTGAAGTGCCTGGTACACAACAAATTTCTAATGTATTGATTTTCAACTATCTAAAAATATTATTTTTGTTGAAAGTTCAGCTAGGTTTTATTTACCAGATGAAGAAATCTGTTGTTCTTATGTTTAATTTTTCCATGTTTGTTTAAACTGCACTTAAGTTGTTGGATGGCTTCTATTTGTCACATTTATTTTTTTATAAGAAATCAATATATCTGTTTCCCTATCTTCCCTCTACCACTCCCCCCCAGTTGGCCTTGAGATATCTTTTGAATATGCTTGTCTCTCAAATAGGGATCCACCAGATTCTTTTGGGATATGAATTGTTTGTTGGACACCATGATTCTTGCAGATTTCTGGACTGGTATTTTATCTGTGTTGCATTTTTGGTAGCAATCAGAAGGCAAAAAATGTTGGAAGAATAAGTCTAATCATGCGGGTTTATTATGTGACCACAAGCAGCCTCCACATTTTCTGCCACTATCCTTTTAAACTTTGGCAAGATCAGTCCTGCTACTATAATGGTAATTGCTCCTTTTTTTTTTTTTTTTTTTTATAATCCAGATAGCTGCCTTTTGCATTATTCAGTGTTAAACTTCATATAAGACGTTAATCCAATGGATCTGGTAAGGAATATTTATATTAGAGATGGGCAAGTACTCAGATTCCTGAAGGAACCAAACAACTATCCACTAAATCTGGTCCATTCAGCAAAGTAGATACCTGTTGAATTGACATTCAGTAAGATTAAACTTTTATTCTTTTGGCAAGTTTATTCCTTTATTAGGAATCTTCTTACCTGTTTTATGAAATATTTCATTTTGGGGCACAGAAGCTGTTGCATTGCGAATACTGGTTGATGTTTTGTAAACATAAAGCACTGCAAGTGAAAAGTGTTTTTGTTCTAGCCATGGAAAGGCATTTCAGCAAAGGTACAGTTTCAAGTTAAAAATGAATTATAGAATTTTTCAGAAGAGTTGATAAACTTATAGACAAGGGAATCAGGAGAGGAAAAAAACTTATTCGTGATCAAGAACAATTCACTTGGAAGCAAAGATAAATTCTGAGTTAAGTAGTCAGAGAAATGTGACACAGTTAGAAAGAAATTGGGGTGTATGGAGGTATAAATAGTGGGGTGTATGGAGACTCCATGCAGCAGTTGGGATGAAAAGAGTTTACTCTCCTGCTGATTAGAATAAGAGCCACAATTGCCTGCCCTGCGTCTAGGGACATAATGAGAATTAACTAAGGTGTGCAAATTTAAAGAGCCTTAGTTAAAATGCATTAAATTCCTGTGTGGACTCTCTTACTCAGAAGTAAAGTGGCCCAAGGGGATTAAGCTAAAGCAAATTTGAGGCCACTGTACTTTGGAATGAGAGCAGCCACAAGGGGCTTTAAGGCACTATAACTAGGGGCTTTTCTACAATTACAGCGCTGCAGTGATACTGCTGCACAGGCAGCGCCGTCGTAGCACTTAGTGAAGATGCTTCCTATGCCAATGGAGGGCTTCTCCTGTTGACATAGTTAGCCTACCTTCTCGAGAGGTGGTAGCTATGTTGACAGGAGAAGCTGTCCCATTGACACAGTGCTATTTACACCAGGAGTTAGATCAGTATAACTGCGTTGCTCAGGGGTTCACACCCCTGAGAGATGCAGTTATACCAACCTAAGTTTCTTGTGTAGACCAAGCCTCAGGCTCTTTAAATTTACACTTTTAGTTAAGGTGAATTAACATTCCTGCGTGTCCTGGTGTAGACATGTCCTAGGAATTTGGCCAGTAGCAAGTTGGGCCAGCTGTAGGTAAGAATAGGAAGTGCTGTCAAGAGTTAGCTCGGATGATGACTGGCTGCAGAAGTCAGAGAGAAGATTGGAGCCGAGGTTGAGAACAGGGATGTGGCTCTCTCCTTGCAGAACCTTTGGAGAGGTGAGCCATGCTCTGTTATTTACATCTGGGATTTGGCTGAAGCCACTCACTGCTGAGGAAAGTCGATTTTCATTTGTTTCTCCCTTAAAAGGCAGAGCACTCTTTTGTTTTGTATGATGATCAGCAGTAAATTGCACCCCAACAGGGCTATATGATGCCACAGAGTACATAGACTCCTCTTGGACTTACTGTGGCTCTGACTGGCATGAAACAGAGAACTAGAGAGTTAATTTTGTACAGCATGGCAGAGTAAAGATAGGCAGATGGCAATTTGTCCCATCTCTAATATGTTTTTGATTGCAAGCTTCCTGTGATGTCTGCTGGTAAAAATCCAAAGTATTTGATTTAATATGTCTGTTTTTATCATTGTCTAAACATAATCCATATCTTCTTCTTCCCCCATATCTGATATTTTTACAAATGGAGGTCCTTGTTTCTGACTAACAGTCTCAGGACTGGCAACATAAAACTTATTTTGAAGAGCATATTTAATAGTTCTTTCTGCAGGTCTCTTATTAGGGTTGAAAAGTAATGTAAATGTTCATTGTTAAATAGAGATTGTATTTAGTATGCATTTTTTTTCATGTATACTAGCCACATTCTTTCCTTTTTTTGAGAGCCTCTATTCTGGCTATTTAAATGTGATCGTATTAATGCTTGTTTTGATCTATCAATGAAAGTGCAAAACTAAAAAAAAATCACATACAAGTCACCATTTTTGTGTGTATCATTTATAATAAGACACATTCTCTGAGACTGTAGGATGAAATGGTTCAACAAAATCAAGCAAGCAAGATCAAACTGCAGAGCTACAGATACACACGTCTTATAATGTATGTTTCCAGCTGCTGTATTTATGAAGTAACAGACTCATTAACTGGGCAATGTACGGTAGCTTTCTCTTTAATTACACTGTTTTATTATATACAGTGGAATTATTTTTCAGAATGCAGCTGTTTTCGCAGACTGACCTTTTATTATAAGAGACGTTTCTGTCTAATGAAGAGAGATAATTACAGTACACAGTATGCTTTTGACATATGGAAAGCTATTGGTACCAGGACTTTCCTGTTGCAGAATTTTATTTAAGAGAAAACTATAATTTACATATTTTAAAATGTATAAAACTACCTATAAGTAGCAATAAAGTTGAGACACAAACCAACAAAAGCAATGCTAATAAGTGTCCTCAAATTGTCCTGTTGTACACACAATAGATATAATAATATACATGGTACATAACATAAGTTAGAATATTAACATCATCAGTTTTCTTGTTCTTGTCATTTTCAGGCCTTTTAAATTACACAATACTTAGTCGACTTGGCCCTTTAAAAAGGGTAGATGTTTTAGTCAAAAAATGTATTAACTGTTCTCCTCTGCAAAACTGGCTGTAAAAGTTTTTGCAAGGCCTACAAGATGTGAGGTCTTCCTAGAAATCAAGGGACTGATGGTTATGTTGCTTGCTAGACCTTCAAAGGCCAGCCTTGGGTGAAGGGATTGTGAATCACTTATGGTCTTTAGGAAAAAACTAACAACAAGCTTTCAACCCTAGTAATCTGTTCGCATTAGTTCATGTTTTCAAGCCTACTTCTTTTCTTTTCTTTTTTTAAATGAGGGTTGAGTTCCCCTTCATGTTTGTAGGTACCATCTTGGAATAGTACATGAGCTTTCACAAACTTTCAGCCTGAGCTGCCTAAGGTGGGTGTTCCAGCTGAATCACGCTATGCTAGATTTGGAGGAACACTCCAAAAAAAAAAAAAGTATTTACATTCTTTCAAAAAACCCAGAATTCACTTTGCTCCAGTGTTTGCAGCCCCTTTTATTTGCGTTTTGCAAACATCTGTGGGAGCAAATGTCGTTTGCAAGGTTTTTCCACCTCCACAAAACAATCTTGTGAATAGTTGTTCAGGAGCATTTGCAGCTGAAGTATTCATGTAGCCATCTTGAAACCTTCCTGTGGGAGTTTAGAGAGCAGAAACAATGCCATGTGACTAACCAGTCAGACAGCATGAATAGTGGACATTTGAGGCAGCAATTAGGGTTCACAGTTTGCAGCAATCTACAGGCTACACTTTGTTCATATAAGGCATTAGTCAAATAACTTCAAATAATGAGTAAATAAGTACAAATCAAAGTCTGTTCTTGATTATTCACAAGGAAAAACCTGGGCTAACATCAATGAATTATTTGTTTGGCCCATCTCTATTAAAAACAGATTAGTGTACATATTATAGAAGAGAGATTGTTGAATGATGTTCGAAGGGGACTGATGGATGTTCCATCCAGAGACATTTTGATGCTAGATTGGACAAGCCATTAGAAAATATGCTAAAGGGAACAATCTTGCAGCTAATTCACCCCTCACAGATGAAACTTTACGAGAACGGTGTTGAAAACCCCTTTCCTACTCCTTCTTAACATCCCATCTCTCATACTCATTCACACCCTTATAAGTCCTTCCTTTTAATTTCAGAGTCCAGGTATATTATGATTTGGGCCTCAAAAAACCCAACAGCCCTTTAAAATCAAAGCTAGTTTGATGTAGAGGGGTCCAATCCAAATCCTTGTGAATCCAAACTGTGTCCCACAACTTTCTATTATTTTAAGTAGTGTGACCAAAAAGCATTGGTGTGGGGTTACATATCTGTTATGTTTTAACCTTGAGAAACGGGAGTGGGGAAAGTCCTCTATTGAGACTGTGTATAACAAGCTTCAGCCCAAATAATATTTATGGCCAAGTTATAAACTCCAAGCAAATGAGGCTGTTAGCCTATACATATAGCAATGCTAGTGATTATCGCTTCCGAACCGACTTTCCTTCACTGATAGCACCTATTTCATTATATTAAAAGAAAAGATGGGATTTTCCTTCTTTTTTTTTCTTTCTTTTTTTTTTAAGCAGTAAGGTATTCTGGTTTATACTCTAGTATAAACACTACCAGTTGTTTTTAATGCTCTGAAAGGCTTTGTTTTGGTGGTAATTAAATGTACTGCTTGAGTTAGTATTGTACTTTTCAGCTTTTCACATTTAATTAATGTTCGTGTGGGAATTATGAACAATTTATATCTGTCAGAAAAAGACGAGACTTAACAAATTGTCTCTCTGCAGATGTGAAATTGAGGCAACCTTAGAGAGGCTGAAGAAACTGGAGCGTGATCTGAGCTTTAAAGAGCAGGAGCTAAAGGAACGGGAGAGACGTTTGAAAGTATGGGAGCAGAAGTTAACAGAACAGTCCAATACTCCTGTAAGTAAAATAATTCAATCTTTCCTCTGACTGCAAAAAGCATTTGGAGCATTGTATGAGAAAATCTAGGGAAATTCCAATGAAAGGTTTCTGTTATCTTCTCCATTTGGTCCTGTGGGGCTGTTATGGCCTATTTTATTAACCAATACAAATAATACTCTTTAAAATTCACTTAATGCATTATACATAAGATACTAACTGTGGGCCATATTGTGCCATCAGTAAATAAACAGTTTCCTGTTGATTTAATTGCATTTCTAAGCTTAAAAACTTATGGTCTTAAATGAGAGAGCAGCATGCTCTTTATATGTCCATATTGGTGCTAATCTTGAAAACAGTGTGATACAACAACAAAAATGGGCACTCTATTTCATATTCATTATTGTGACACTTCATAAATTTTTTGTTTTATATATTAAAGCTGCGTATTCAATAAAAGCACAATCCTGTTCTCATTAGACAACAAGAACTTTTCTGTTGACTTTAATGGAAACAGGATGGGGCCCTAAAAATAGTAACTTGTAGTCTCTGCAGAAAAAGACTTCAGAAATGTATCTGAGTGTTTGATAACTCGCTCTGCGAGGAACACATCTAAAATTGATGTCTTTACATTTTATAGAAGTCCACAAATCTTGAGTGAGGATTTGAGCCTTCAGTAGTTAATGTGTAGGACTGATAAATATCTTAGTACTAGAAAATGCACATTATTTTATTAACTGAAAGAAATGTGCCCATTTCCATGAATACATTAAAATAAATAGTATTTTCTGTATTAGCCTGAGCTCCTTGCTGAGGTTTAACTCTCATTAACTTCAGTGGAAATTTTGCTAGAAAGTGGAGTGCGTGGTCAGGCCCTGAGTGTTTGTACTGGAACAGAGTTAATTTAGCATCATAATTGTGATACTTGCTTAATAGAATTACAACACTTTTTTCTCCTTGTATTTTCAGTATTAGCCAAAACAAATATCAACTTAAGTTTGCAATAGTTTGCCATTCCCTTATGCAATCAGTTATGATTCTGTAGGTTCAGCATTCTAATACATAATTAAGTCCTGCATACATGGGAATATTGATTCTAGCCAATCCAGTTTACTTGCAACTTAGTTTTGAGGCACAGCGTATTGGCATTTATATGAATGAAGTTGTACACATGTTCCGGCTGTAAACATGTAGTAGTGTAATGATGAAGAATGAATGTTTTCCTATATCCAGACACTGTATGTTCTAAGTCGGTATCTGTGTGCTTGCTTTAACACCAGCAAACTTCCAGTAACTGAGCTGTGGGCCATCTCCTATACAGTGCACAGCACGAGATGCAGCCATAATGAGCCAATCTTTTTGTGAGCAAGGCCCTAAGGCTGTTTTATGCTGTACTTGCTTATCATGTCCACTTTTCACTTGTAGCTGGCATTGCTGAAGGAAGAATTCATTGTGCTAAGACCTGTTGTGCTTAACATGGACTTTCGTTCTGCATAACATTAACCCACCTCTCTTACTGCATTTAAATGATTGAGAACAGTGTGAAATACAGAGGTTTATTTTTCTGAGACCTTTAATGAACTACTGTGCTGCTGAACATCTCCATTTTCAAATTTTTGTGTAGACACAAAAACTTGCCCTGTTCTATCAGAGTTGTTTTCTTCATAGCAAAGTAGCGTCTATTCAGTGCTAATTTACAAATAAAAATAAATCTTTTATTCCTAGCCATATGGAAAACAGCACTGCTGGGTGTTCTCTTTGTAAGTGGTGATCCTTGCAGACGAGTCTCTGTGCTCCCTTCAAATGTGAAGCATGGAGGAGGGCAAATAAAACTAGAATTACGTAGAGCATGGGGGGTAGCTAGATCTATGCAACATGATCCCCCACTTCTCGGCGCTCATGGGAGCTGCATCATGATGTGGTAAAGACTCCATGCCTGTGGGTGGCAGGAAGAGACAGAGTCAGAGTAGCTGCCTCCTCTCTTCAGTAATATGAACAGGTGGAACTGCCAGAGAAGAGCAGCATGGCACACTGTCTGGAGTGATTCACAACTGTGAGTGCCAACTTCAGGGCAAACTGTCAAAAAGCAGGGCAGACACCCCAATCTGGTGGGATGTTCTGTGATCAGATTTCATCAACCAAGTAACAAATGTGAACTCTTGGATCACTGTCCTAGTCTTACCATAGAGTCACAGAAAGGCCCTTTGGGCACTCCAGTCTATCTTGCTACTCAGGCATGCTGGACTTAGTGATAAATGGTCACTTGCACCAAAAATCACAAGATCCCAGTCCCAAGAGACCAGTCACTTATCTCAGATCAACTTATACCTTCAGTCTCGCACCAAAGACAATGCTGGTAGCCAATCCTATAGTAAACAAACTAAATACTTATTAACTAGGAAAAAGAAATGAGAGCGTTATTTACAGGTTAAAGCAGACAACATATAAGCATAAATGAGTTACAATCTATGGTTCCAAAAGGTGACAGAGATGAAGTAAGCTGTCAGTGCTGAATGTCTTTTAGGGCTAATCTAGGTTGACCCAGGAGATTGCTGCTTTTGTTTCTTAGCTCCAGCCCTTGTGAGAGGCCAAGCTGCAAAGAGATAAATGTTTCTTCTTGCGAGGATCTTTATATGACCTTGCCCCAGAGTTAAAATTGATGGGATGAGGGCTCCTGCACATATCCTACAGTGGCCCAGTTAGTCTTTATAGTCCTTCTTGGTGGGCAGGAAAACCACTCTTCTTGGCTAGATTCACAGATTCAGAGCAGACAATTTTACAATTATAAAGCAAAACTTTCATATTACCTTACAGCATGGGATACAGACATTAGTAAGATTAATGCACGCAGCAACTTATGAGCATTTTATGGAGTCTAAACACATCTTTACAAGTTTATCACCTATTTTAAAAAATATTAACTTATAGGTGAGCAGGTCTGGTTTCCAGCTATGAATTTTCATCATCCCTCAACTGATGCCTACAGTGTGGGAGAGCCTCAGCAGTGGCTGGTGCGGCTGGCACCAGGAACTGCCAGAGCAGCAGTGGCCCCAGGGAGCACCCCAGGGCAGCCCCAGGAACAACCCAAGCAGCAGCGGTCCTGGGGGTGGCCAGAGCAGCAGCTCCGGGGGGTGGCCCTGGAGGCCATCAGGAGAGCGGTGCCCAGGGGGTCTTGGACCAGTGGGCCACCAGGGGAAGTCAGTCTCCACTGCTGGAGCAGAGGGCTCCCAGAGCAGCAGGGCCCAGGAGCAAAAATAGTCATGGGTATTTTTAGTAAAAGTCATGGACAGGTCATGGGCCATGAATTTTTGTTTATTGCCGGTGACCTGTCCATGACTTTTACTAAAAATACCCATGACTAAATCGTAGCTTTACTCATGAGCAGCTTTAACTGACAGTCCAAGCAGTTTGCTCCCCTTGGATGCAAAAATGTAGGGGTCACCTGGAAAACACAAGGGAACTGTACTGCTAGTGAGGCACCCCAGAGAGCAGCACAGGAACCCAAGGATCTGCAGTGGTTGGAGATTCTTTCCTCAAAGATTCCTGGGCTCCATAGGTTTTGAAGAGTGTGATCCATCCAGAAGGCCACAAGTCCCTCTATTCCTCAGTCTTTTAGTGGGGTAGCACCCAAAAGATTTTTTTTAAATAAAGCCCACCTGCTACATGGAGTTTGCTTGAAGAGAGAAAACCCAAAAAAGTGAAGTGTGGGATTCTTATCTGTGTGGCTGTAATCTACTGTAAGTGAAGCAAGTAGATGTGTTTGAAGTTAATGGGAAGCATGTGTTAATGCACAGGAACAAACACAGAGAAACTGTTCTGGGAATCGAGCTGCGTTAGCCATAGGCTGAATAGATGGTTGCCACATTTAAGGGGCCAGTCCTGAGCAGCTCTTCTTTTAACTGCAGAGTTTCTCCCCACACCTGCATGAACCTGATCTCTGCTCTGTCTTGTGCAGTGGGCACTTTTTGCGTCTGATATTCTGTGGCCACAACATCTCTTGTAAAGCACTGCTGCACAAAGGAATCTGGGGCTAATTTGGAGAATAAAACATAACCTGCTGCACACACTGTTTCCACAACAGGACACCATCTGAAGGAGGAAAGGCCAGAGAGAAGGGAATGGGTAGGTTCCCCTGGACTGGGTGTGCTAGAGGAAGGAAATTGGGAGGGATTGGTGAAGGTGTGCACCAAATTCAGTATTAACTTAGACTGCAATGTGCTTAGATCTGGCCATTTAAAAAAATAATATGGATTTCTGTTGTGGTTGCAACTGGAAATCCAGCTGAGGAGCAGGGCTCTTTTGTGGTAGGCACTGCACACTCATAACATAAAGACAGTCCCTCCCTGTAACAGAGCGTCCTTCCGTTCACCACAGAAATTGTGTGGACTCCAGTGGCTGTGCATTCACAGCACCCTTTTATTTTAAGTTCCTTCTGCCATTACCACAACAGTCCCTGTGCAACAGGAGGGTTACAATATCTATGGTTCTTTGGCCCTCTTCCCCAGACCTGAGGGGAACTGAGGACTCTCTTCCCTGAGGACTTCCCACCAGCCTGATAATTACCTCAGTCAGCTTCCTCTGGGAATTAATTAGCATCTGAGTGATCAGAGTTCACTCCCTGCGCTCTGTCACACTCCCCCAGAGAGCTCTTAGACACAGATTTTAAAAGGTGTTTAGGCATTTCTGCACTAAACATTGCAACGCCTTAGGAGCCTAAATCCCATTGACTTCCAATGGGTACTTTTACACTGCAATTAAAAACCCACGGCTGGCCTGTGCCAGCTGACTTGGGCTCATGGGGCCTGGGCTAAGGGGCTGTTTAATTGCAGTGTAGACTTCTGGGCTTGGGCTGCAGCCTGAACTAAGGGACCCTCCCACCTCAAAGGGTCTGAGAGCTTGGGCTCCAGCCCAAGCCCGGAAGTCTACACTGCAGTTAAACAGCCCCACAGCCCGAGTCAGCTGGCATGGGTCAGCCTAATTGCAATGTAGACATAGCCCAATGGGCCTTAAAATCGCAAGTGCCCAAATCCTTTGTGAAAGTGAGACTTCAGATTTTACATCACTTTGGTGTTGCAATGCTGATTTCAGCAACACCTGAACACCTTTAAAAATCTGGGCTTTAGCCTTTGTATATGATAAGAGGCAACAGGTGAATACAACAAATACATGGGGGAACACAAAGAACAGTGAGGTGATTATAGTTAGCGTAATGAGCAGCAGTCACAGCACACCAGCTGCCCAGCCATTGTCAAATGTTGTGTAGCCATCATGACAGAGGTGAGATTTAGAGAAACACTTGGAGGAGGACAATATAGTAGTTTTGTAGATTTTTATGGGGGACTCCTCCCATGCATAAGGAGGATTCTGATATGCCTAAAACCCCATAAAGGGGCTGAAATCGCTCTCTGCCATGGAAGTAGTATAAACTGGGCATCCTGAAACTATGCTCAAGGTTTCTAAGTACTACTCCCCAAACCCCCATAAATAGGAGCCTTGCTTTTTTTGTACTGAGTAAGATTTTATGGTAGAAGGTGACTTGTTTGGTTTTTTTTTCCTAGACAGCTTGCAGCTTATAAAATTAAAGCTTAAGTGTAGGAGGTATCATATCATTCATAGATAGAGCTCTGTGATTTAAGGAGAATGATATAATGGGTCCCCATGTGTTACACACCATTGTAATAATTTTCCCAGTAACAAATTGTGAGCAGAAAATGGACTGAGCAGTTGTGATTAGGTTAAACAAGATGTCTGGAAAGCAATACAGACATAGTTTGGAAAACAGCTCTGGAAATAAAGGCCATTTCAGCAGTACAGAAATAGCATAACATGCTGCCCCTTTAGTAGGTTAATTTTGAATCAAACACCAGAGCTCTTGCTCACTGTGGAGAGCAGGTATGTCATAGAGGTTACTAGCTTGGCCTCCTTGAAGAGGCATTAATCGTGATTTAGCTCCAGAGGACATTTTTCATTCAATTTGGAAAAAAATAGTAGTAACAAACTAGGTCAGGAAAATGCCCTGATGCGTAGGTGGAGATTAAATCAGCAATGCCTTGTATTGCAGGGTATACAGAAACACACCAAATATATGTTGATATCAATGAATAACACAACATAAATTGCTAAGGTTTACAGAAGCAATTTATTAATAGTCCAGACTGGAGACCTGCTCCTACTTCCATTGAAGTTGGTAAAAAATTTTGTCTCTGACTTTAACAGTGGCAGGAATGGTCCATAACCCTTCTTTTGATTGTGGCCTCAAAAATGGTGAACAAAAAGTTAATTCAATCTATCCAGATCTGTACATACTCGTTACTGCTGTGGTATCTTCTGACCTCTAGATAAAAACATTTCTCTCTGCACCAGGGGCTTTTCTAGGTTCTTTAACCCTAAGCTGATTTATTGTTCAATTCTGAAAGCTAAAATTTAGCAACTCAATCGAGCCGTGGCTCTGCTTGTACCTAGATTCCTGTGGTAAAGTCCACATGGGTTAGAGAAATGTTATAAACCATTTTGTATGGTACAAAAAGAGAGAGTCAAAAGTTGGCACTTCCTTTCAACATGAAAGCTGGGCTACCTGTGGTCCTCTGCACGCTGTTTGGTGGTGGTTTTGCGCTCTCATTTTTAAAAAATTTAAGCCAAGTCTGTTCTAATGAATTCTTACTTGAGCTCCGTGTTTTGATTCACTAATCATTTTGCTTTCTGTTTATTGCTAACTAATCTGGTAGTGTCTTTTTTGCCTTGAATTGAATTGGTTCTAACTTTCCTTTTTACTCTGTCCCTTCCTCCTTTAAATAGCTTTTCTTACCTATTGCTGCAAGAATGTCTCAGGAGTCTTACTTTGAAACTAAAACAGAGGAATCAAACAGTGCAGAGATGTCATGTCAGATCACAGCAACAAGTAACGGGGAGGTAGCTGGCATGAACCAAAGTCTGCAGGCCTTGATGATGAAGGGCTTTGGGGATATCTTCTCTATGAACCAAGCAGGATCTGTCCTGCATTCTGGAATGCAGATAAACATGCAAGCCAAAAAGAATTCTTCTAAAACCACCTCTATGAGAAAGGGGAAGAAAATCAACATGGCTGTGGGTTTCAGAGAATTTGACTGGTCAGATGATGATGAAGATGATGATGATGATGATACAGATGATTCTAGTGAATGAAGTTAGAAATCTAATTAAGGCTAAAATTGGTTTCTAGCAAATCAAAGCAATAAAGTTTCAGAAAAATCATCCTGTCATTTTGGTCTGTTTTAAACCCTGTAAAAGAAACAAAAGCAAAAACACTACATTTTTCTGGGCTAGACATATTTGTATGTTAAAAATATATCTTGTTGGTTTTTAGATTGTGTTGACCTATTTTTGCTTTGCTGAAATTTGGAACTAAAATTTCAAAACAAATCGATGTTTTTAAAACCCAACAAATATAGCTGCAGCTCACATTTATGCTGTAATATTTGGTATCTGATTACAGAAACTTCTGTGGCTGAATGTTTAAGATCTGAAAACAATGGAGGAACTTAAATACCTATTTTACTTCCATTACTTTTTTCTCTTTGTTTTTGTTTTTGTAGTTTTCTTTATCCTTTTTATTGTTGATCATATGAATATATTTGTGTTTCCATGTGGGCTTTTCCTATACAATCCATTCTTTCTGACTGCTACAGTGAAGTTGTTTTGCTAAATTTGTGATTTCTAAATCATTTTCAAGGCAATATCCTGTGATATCATAAATACATTACTAAGAAGGACAAGCAGGGCTGAGAAAAATAAAGCCCTTACAAACACACAGTTTAAGAAACAGCAACTGAATACAGACAATCACTGGTAATAGATAATTTGTATAAATGTTCTTTTCTCTTTCTCTTTAATTTGTGAAATTCACTCTTTAGTACAGCCACTTATAATAAAACCTCACCACCTAATTGCATTGTGGTAGTCTACAAGCTCACTGGTTTTCGGTTACATTGATGTAAATCCAGGAAATATCATTAACTTTGATGGATTTACTCTGGATTTATTCCGGTTTAGCTGAGAGCAAAATTGGTCTTAGGTTATTTATAGCAATTTTTTATCTTGCTGTAACTATTAAACCATTTATCACTGTCCTTCCCCGAATAGGGGGGGGAGAGACATTTTAAAAGTGAGCCCTCCTACTGTGGCTTAAGCTAAAGTCTCAGTGATGACGTGAAGAATATTCTCTAGAGTTTAAATATCCATTTTTCTGCTGTGAAATCATTTTTAAAATATTGCCACTGTTATGATTCATCCTAAAATTGAGTATATAAGTATCTGTTGCAGTAATTATACCACAAACCCTCTGTCCGGAACAGTGAATGTATTTTCCTGATGAACTCTTTGGTGATGGTACAGAAAGAGAGAAGGAAACAGATACATTCGCACCTACAAGTGCAGAAGAAAGGCCCATTGTAAAATGTTTGTCAAATAAAGAAGGGCAAAAACTTTTAAAGAAAAGTGTTACTTTCATGTTCAGTTGGATTTGAGGGGATAATTAAACTCCTAAGTGCCATGTGTTGATGGTGGTTCTCTCATGAAAAATGGCGATTAGTGCTGTTTAAATACCTTAGAAAGTAGAATCATTACATGATAGCAGATCTGAAGTTGGATCTCCAAGAGTTTGGGACATTATATTCTATTATTTAGAAATAAGAGAAAAAGTTCTTGAAGTTTTAAAATTAGCTTTTCTAGGGTAACGAGTGCAATCTTTGAGATGTGAAAGGTAGCTAGCTTCCTTATCTAAGGTCCAGTGCTGTTCTGGCCACCTGTAAAGCACTCAGTGCTTTCAACTATGCTTGAGTTCAACAGGAGCTAAAGATGCTCAGCACCTCGCAGGATTGGGCCCTTAACTATATGAAATGTATAGCATTTGAGCCAAGTTCCACCCTCTTGCTAGCAGGTTCAAGTCCCTTGGATTGAAGTTAGCTTTGTGATATCTGGGGCAATTTTTTCATGCTAATAAGAATTTGTAATTTCAACACTGAACAGTGCAACACGTTCTTATTGGGAGAATTTACTGTATCTAGTCCAAGTGAAATTTGCTCCTACAAGATCAGTGGTAGTAGCATTTTAGGAGCACTAAACAAAGTGACTGAGGGTGTGGGGAGGGACAGAGAATAGGAAAGGGGCAACAAATTAAATGGAAATGGCAGCAAACAAGCTATTTCCAAATGCAGATTTGTATTGTTTTTTAAGTCTGCACCTGCTAACAGCTACCGCCGCGACATTATTTTTATAACCGCTATACTACACGCAGGAAAAATGGAAGGATTTGTATAATCTAATATGTGTCTATGTTAAACTACTGTACCATATTTCTAGTGTAGAGTTGCACAGCTGTAACTGAAGTCAAAATTGAACCCAGTATGTTTAGAAATGCAAAAACAAAAATATCTCTTCTTAGTACTGATACTGATACTTTGCACTTTTAAAGCACCTAATAATCTCAATGCACTTTGTACAGATACGTGTTGGTTTTAATTAGATGTGCAAATCCACTTCTTGATTTAAATCTTCACCTAATAAATATTCCAACACTACTATATCACATCACTTTTTTGTTGAGGACAGATATTCTCATGCATCTCTCATTAAAGTGAATAGGAGTTATTTGAGCATAATAAATGGAATAATTTGGTATTTTTTACATAGAGAGCAGAGCTGGTAAAAAGAATTTAAATTTAGTTTTTCAGTGAAAAACAAGGACAACATTTCCATGACTTGTCTATTTTTTAGCCAACTCTAATAAAGATATATTGAGAGATAAAGCAATAACTCTCGAAACATTTATTTTCATGTTCAAAGTAGAAAGGCCCTAGAATTGTTGTAAAAGAAAGATCTACTAAGCTTAAGGCTTTCCCCAAACTTTTTTGTTGTGGTTCCTTTAAAGTATGATTATATTTAGAATAGTAGCTTGGCTTAAAAAATGACATTGTGGAGGTCGATTTTTTTATTCTCCTATAATGACTGTCATACCAAACGTGTTCAGTTTACAAGTCAAAAATAAATTGTGCTTGACTATCCAGCTATGTTTCTGCCTCGAACATCCTCACTATATTTTAATTTTGAAAGATTTTGGTTGACAGTTCTGTTGATATGGAGGCAGAACAAAACCATTTTGATCTTCCACCGTTGATTTGCTCTGCAGTGCTAGCAGAATTAAACTTGTTTTTTAATCTATCTAGATGTCCAATCACCAAAGTGTCTACAATAGTTACTCATAATAGTTAACAGTTACATAGCATGTCACATGATCAAAGCATTAACCAAAAGTTAACTAAGGAATCCTCCCAGGGCCTTATGAGGCAGATAAGGTAAAGTGTTGTTATCCTATTTCACAGCTGGAGAAGCTGATATAGAGAAGTTAAAGGCCAAATTTGAACTTCTCATTTTTACTCAGTCATTATACTTAAACTAACACTGTCTTCAGTAGGGCATATTTCCTGACCTGAGGAACTCAGAGTTTAGCCCTTTTATTTACTCAAAGCCACATAGTGAGCTGGGATCAGAACTCAGGATTTCCTGACTCCTAACCCAGTTCTCATTCTTTCGGACTTGGAAAAGATGCAGGGAATAGATATGCTGAGTAAGACTATTTTAATGTAGTCACTTTTATGACTGTAATAGCACTAATGCTTTAGAATAGCAATTGCTCTGAGATCTAATGCTTAGATCTGAGGACTTGTTTCAGGGCTTATATAGTTTGTGGAGTGTTTTGGATATGCTTGATTAGCTGGCCATATTTGTTAACTGTAGTACTTGGACTTAGTCTTCTCTAGATGCCGGGGATTTTTGAGACCTGAGATCTGAAGTAGCTCTTCGGCACAATGTCATGTTCTTGACTTGTTCATTTATCATTTGCAGTATTTTGTTAGATAGTGATTTCATTTCATTGTAGATCTTAAAGCAGTTATTCTAATTAAATATTGATACATTGATCTAATTAAATAATTGATACATTATATTGCTATCAGCAGCAGTAAATCCACAGCACGTAAAATAAAGCTAATAAGTAACTAGCAAAGTTACTGTACATCTTTAGTAAGCTATTTCCTGTTTTTGTAATAAGGCAGCTTTTACAGGTTTTTAATAAGACCTCCAACTTGACAGAGGTTTAATTATAGGCCAATAGAGAATCCATTCTGTTCTTCCAACTTTCATGTAGGAAAATAGGCTCACAGGACATACAGTAATTTTTACAGTCCTTAAAATCTACCAGTAGAAATCTGGAGAGGAATGCATTTTCCCCCTGACTCCAACTTAGTGCACACTATTAAGTCTGTATAGAGGTTTCTGGTGCGTGAAGGTTTAGTTTCAGGACTGTAGTACCAGCAACCTACATTAAACATTTTACGTTGTGTGCAAAATATTCTGCTGACTTTTAAAGTCAGATATAGTCCACTGCATTTTCTTGCTTTTGCACTCTTTAAAAAGTTTTGTACTGAATACTAGGAAATGATTCTATTTATACTCCAAGTGTGAGCAAATGAAATTTGAATAGAAAATATTTTCACAGCGTTAGAAAACTTCATCCCTTCCTACTGAAATACTATCCTGAGCAAAACCTGTGCCAAAACTATTGTGGCAAACTGACTAGCTAATTTGTATGGAACATGCAATGTTACACCCTCTTGTGGTAAGACCTTTCAGTTGTTTTCTTCACCGCACTTAACATGTGATGTCTTGCTTTATTCACAGTATGGATTTGGTTTTCCAGTTTTTCAAAAAAATGTAATGTATTCAATTTTCTCAGTTGGTGTCATAAACTTGATTTTGATGTGAAGTTTTTTCCTTTGCTTCTCTTTGTTCCAATCTTCTATTTTGCAATAAACATTTTGACAGTACATTTTATGCTTCTGTGTTCTTGTGTAAACCGCTGCTATTAAAGGGATTCCTCATTGCCTTCTGCTTTGATCTTTTTCATATTATGCAGGGTGTGGCATTTCCCCCTTTTTCCTCTTTGTTTGTTTGTTTGTAAATATATTTAACATTTCACATCACTAATTTTCCTCTCCTAAAAATGGGAATCATCTGAAAAGTCACTGTGTGTAAGCAAGAATGGAATATTGAACTCGTGCAATGGTAGAATACACAATGAACTACAGCAAACTGTTGTACTCAAGGTTCCCAATGGAAAGGAAAACACCAGCCCATTTGGAATTTAAGGGCAATTATGTTAATTATTTATTGCAAATATTGTGGGTCTCTGCCTTCACAAGGGTCATCATGGTTTGCCAGATCCTGCCCAACCTAGTTGCCAGCGATAGGTGGACCCCTTCCATCCTACAACCCTCTCCGCCCCTATTTAATTGTCACGAGGGGAGCCTTTTCTGGATTTTCCTGACTTGTAATCAGTAGGTTATGAAGCTTGGGCCATGCATGGGGAAGTTAGGGGGACGAGGGAAACTTGCCTTTCTGTGTGGCAGTCAAAGCCAGCTTCCCATCCCAGTGACCACTTAGCTCAGGCATTGTTGGCTTTGTCCATCTGAGGAGGCCATTTCTGTCCTGGAAGAGTTATGGCAGGAAGGGGTGGGCAGCGGGGCAGGTGAGGGGAGAGGGTCAAGTGATCTTCACATGGATGGACAGGGATTGTCTGATAAAATGGTTGTGGTGAGGAAGGAATTTTCCTTGGAAGCAGATTGGCCAAGCCACTGGGGTGGGGGTGGGGGGTTGCTTTCCTCTGTGCATCTTGCAGTGTTCAGCAGAAGCTGTAGTTCAGGACACAGGAAACAAGTGTAAGACAGTCATGAATCCATCAGTGGGAATCCATACGGGAAAAGCAGAAAGACTTGTCACAAGTTTGGGTGGAAGTCATTGTGGGAGGCACCTGTTGTCCCACAGTCTGCAGGGTCAGGGAAAGGAGGAGACTAATAGATAATGATTTGAAAACATGGGGTGGCTTCCATGCATAGGCACAAGGTCTTTCAGGTGTGAGGGAGGAATTCTGGAGAGGAGGAACTGCAACTGCCAAGAGATTGGGCACTAGGGTGCTTCTGGCTTGCACGGCCCACAATGTAAGGAGACCAGAAACACTGATGGTTGACCAGTGAAATCTGAATTACCGTTTGGAAGCGAAGTAATTCAGTAAATTTTCAGCCAGAGTATGGTGGCAAGAGTTTGGGTGGCACTGTCAATTCAGATCCATCTAATTAACAGGATACCAATGAGAAGATAATATAGCTTAGAATAACCCATTCTTTAGCTAGTTAGATGGAGGTTACTATCTCAGTGAGATCTTTCACTGTGTCATCTTCAAACCATTCCTGATTTCACTGACAGATCCATCCCCTCATGTATCAAGCAGATTCTGGTCTGATGCCCGCATACTTCAAGGGGAGAATCCTGATCCACCATATAACAAAGTGTACCATACATGGTACGTGGTATGTGGCATTCAGCTGGCTGTGAAGTGTCCCCTTCAGGTTTTGTTCCACAGCTCCTAAAAGGAATGATCATGCAGGTGTAGGCGGGAACCGAAGGGTAAAAGGGGACAAACAAACTTGTACCTTAATCAGTAAGGAAGTCTAGCTGCAGTGACCCAGTCCCAAGTCAGTTGTGCTGTCCTTGTTATGCAGTGACCGCTTCTTTCACTCTACAGAAAACCTCCCTCCCAGCTGATATTGGGAAAGACCAAGACACAGCTTTCACTACTGGAGTCAAGCGATAGTAAAAGCAATGGTACAACACAAGGAGAGAGCGGTGACTAGTGAGCCCCACTTGAGGGGATGCGGCTGGTGACAAAATTCCAAGACTGCTTTTGTTGCTTGGTGATCTCCTGACTAGTTTTGCCCCCAGGAGGTGTTGGGACTATTCCATCACTGCTGTAATATCACTGAAGCCAGTCTGTGATCACTTTGACTAATATGTGAACATGAGGAATGCTACTTTGATGGCACTTTATGCAGTAATCCATGGAATAATGGGGAAAGTCCTCATCACAACCAGGAGGCTTATGGCTTAGCTGGAGAGGAGGTGCCAAATAAAATCAGCCACCAAAGTAAAACTGGGGGGAGACCTGAGCAAATGATCAGACAAGAAGAGCAATATTACTCTTTTCAATTCATGTTTCTCACACAGTTGCTGCCTTCCTTTGATATTTGCGCGTGGACTGAAGAAGATGTGGTAAGCATTTTGTACTAATTCAGTCAGCATTGTTTTTATGTAGCTATAAAAGAAAACTGATGCACATCATAATAAATAAAATCTAGATTGTGGACAAGATTTGAGAAATCTGTGGGCAAGATTCTAGTACTATATATTTTTAAAATTCCTGTTCCAAAAAAGATTTTAAAATGACCCGATCCTGAAAGAGGAAGGACTTTATCACCTTGGTGAAATGGTCACATGCTCAGAGACCTGTTTAAAGCATTTGGCTTGGCAGATTATCAGCCCAGAGTATATGCTGCTGAATTGTCATAGGCAGGTGGGTATTGCCATTCTTCAACAAAGAAACTTCAAAAACAGACTCCAGCAAGAAACTGCAGAACTGGAATTAATTTGCAAACTGGACACCATTAAATTAGGCTTGAATAAAGACTGGGAGTGGATGAGTCATTACACAAAGTAAAAACTATTTCCCCATATTAATTTTTCCCCGGCTGTTACTCACAGCTTCTTGACAACTGTTTGAAATGAGCCATCCTGATTATCACTACAAAAGTTTTTTTTCTCCTGCTTATAATAGCCCACCTTACTTGATTGGTCTTGTTAGAGTTGGTATGGCAACCCCCATTTTTTCATGTTCTCTTTATATATCTTCCTACTGTATTTTCCACTGCATGCATCCGATGAAGTGGGTTTAGCATATGCCCAAATAAATTTGTTCGTCTCTAAGGTGCCACAAGTACTCCTCATTTTTTTGCTGATACAGACTAACACGGCTACCGCTCTGATAGTGGTTTTAATATCCCTTTCAGCAGCCTTTTGGTACATCATGTGGTCATTTAAGTAAAGGTTACTGAAGGACTAACTGAAAAGCTAATGCAAAGTAGTAATGGTCCAAGCTGCTGAACTTGTCCCATTCATCACACAACAAATTGATCAATCTACATTAGGAGCAGTAGCAATTAAAAACAATAATAAACTAAAAAAATGGCTGCAAAACAGAAGGAAATTTATCGTAAATAACAAACTTGCAAGATAGCCCTGAAAAGTAAATATAATGGAGAAGTTTGATTCCCTTGTCCCACCACTAAAAAGACTTTTAATTTTTGTTTTAAAATTGAATTATGAGCATTATATTTTTGAGTGTTTTGAGGTGCTGTAACCTATACATTTTAATTGTGTGACCTTCAAAATTGCTTTTTTTTTTTATACAGTACTTTTGGCTGCACCAGCTTGTTGGAAAAGGTAAACTACACATTATAGCTCACAGATTTAACTTTTTTTTTCCCAGTGAAGAGCACTATGGATTTCTGTATAATCTTTCATATCTTAAGGTGATGCTTCCGGTGAGATGAATGTTTATGCCAACTTGTTTAAGGAAAATCATATCACTGGGAAACGGTTGCTTCTTATAGAAGAAGAAGATTTAAAGGACATGGGAATTCTTTCCAAAGGACATATCATTCATTTAAAGGTATCTTAACAACACATCTTGATAATCACAGTAGTAAATATTGACAATGTAAATGACAGTGTAAATGTTGACAGAAATCATCAGTTTTATCCAGCATAAGAGAAGATCTAAAGCTAAGGCTAGAAAAACCTTTTTGAGAAAAAGGGTCATACCCAGAACTTGCTTGCAATAGGCACCAAAGCAAACCTAAACACTTTGAGGTGCCAAAAAGATTGGTAACCTTGAGTTTTTGATGTGGTGTTGTTTTTTTCTCTCTTATAAATACCCATGCTCCACTGCATTTCCTGGTTTTGGCTGGGACAGGAATAGGAAATATTGCAAAAGACTCTTCTAATAGTATCTCCCACCTAAGTGAAACCTTTGGAAATCTTAGGACAGAACCTGTTCTCACAAGACTTCCAGCCTAATCAGAGAGGTCCGGATAAACACCAAAAATGTATTTGAACTGAAATCTCTGAACATCTTGAGTTTCACCAATCATCTCTAATTTAAAACTGCTTTGTGTACCAAACACTCTATTCTTGAACAATTGTAAAGATAGTTGAGTGCTAGTGGGTATGGCTCCTTTGCTGTCTGAGCTTTATTTCATCCACAAGAGATTGTTTTGCTCTAATTATCTAATAGTTACACTGAATCCAGCAAAACCCTTGGCCTGAAAGTAGTAACTGATGTAATAGTAATAATATTTACTTCCAGTCACAGAACATGGCTTACATACCTGTGGTTCTGCTCTGAAACATGTCTTGAAAATGGCATTGTGGGCTTCCATTATGTCTGAGTGATTCTGTATACAATGTTCTCCATTTACTAGTAAAAGGATGCTCTTTGTCTGATTGTCAGCGCTGAGAGTCGCACTAGGTTATATCTATCTTTTGCATCAGCACAATAAAGGTATTACAGTCCAAATTAATATTGCATTTCTATGGGTTGTACGCCGTTGTTTCCAAGTAGTTCCATTAGTGACATGTGTGATTGCCCTCCGCAGGGGTTGATCAGATGAAACTTATTAAAAGTTGGTAAATAAATGGACACAGACCATGGAATAGAGCAGCGGTTCCCAACTGGCGGTCTGCGGCCCACTGAGGGGGCCATGAACCATTTCAGGGGGTCTGCCAAGCACGACCGCTCAGAGCCCCGAGTCCAGGTACCCCATGGGGCTGAAGCCCGGAGCCCCAGTGCCTTGAGCTCCCAGAGAAGCCGCCCCGCACAGCTGAAGCCCTGAGCCCCCCATCCCCATGGGGCTAAAGCTCTGAGCTGCCTCCTTAC